CGATCGGATGACATGTTCCAGCCGCTGACGTGGGGCGAGTCACCGTTACCTGCGGCCTCTGTGTAGAGCTTCATTGGCGGCAAAGTCGCCGACCCACCTGTTCCCTCCAGAGTTGGCGAACAACACATTTGTTTTAAAGGATATCTTCCCATCCCGGAGACTAGACTTCCTCTGTTTTTCCGAGACTTGAACGAGTGTTGGCGAGACTTTCACCAAATGAATGCAGCTATTTGAATTCCCGGGGGACGTAAAGCCGAGGAATAGCGACTGTTGTCAAGAGTCATTATAAAGGTAAGCAGCTTTCGTCATACTCGTTGTTTATTATTGAAGCAGCTTTGCTGTCATCTTTTGCCGCCTAAATACCACGGAGACTTTGTGGATGATTTTGCTGATTTCCTGGCTGAGGTTATGCCTAAATATGACCGTGTTCTTCTCGCTGTGGAGTTTAATATCCACATATGTTGTCCAGATAAGGAAATGGTACATTTTTTTAATCCTATTGACTCTGAGTAGTCTGTGTTGGGTCCTATACTACACATGAACGGTGACACACTCAGGGTCATGTTTTATCATATGGGTTGCCAGTTCTTCACTTAGAAACGTGTGATAGTGTTTTCAGATCACGGCCCTGTATTACCTGAGGTTGTTCGTGGATGTACTGCAGTTAAATCTGCCGCTCAATCATTAACCCTTCCACTGCTGCCACATTCTGTGTATAACCATCTGCAAAACCGTTTTAGACAAGACACGAACCGAGTGTTTTAGAGCTGTACGTAAATAGAAACTGGACAAGCTACAGTTATCCTTCCAAATATTAAGGGACTGTTGGCGTCATTACCAGACAACTTTGAGAGATGCTTAAAGAAAGCATTTTCTAACATATTGAGAAATTGCTACGAGTCTCGTGTTCTTTTTAAGACTATTGCCTTAACTTCCCCACAGACTGCCTGTTTTGATGCTTCCCCTTCTGTTTGTGAAAATGTTCTGTACTTTTTTTATTAACAAGGTCACTTCTACCAGGGCCAATCTCACCTCCTTCTTATAATCCCCCTGTCTCTGTCCCTGTTCTGCTACCTTTGAGAGGTTTGAGCCTCTGACTCAAGAGATTGTTTACAGGGTCTCCAAATGATGCTGCTTTTCCTCGCCTACGTAAAGAGGTTTTTTCCACACTATAGGGCTGTTGCTCATATAATTAAAAGTAGCAACCGTTCTGCAGGTTGTGCATCTTTTGATTTAAAAAAAAAAAAAAAAAACCCTGGTTAGATGGTTAAACTGCCTTCCTTCTCCAAAGGTTCGTCACTGTCTGCTTTCAAATCCCTAAAAACCCACCTCTTCTTCTTGGCCTTTGTTTCGGCTGTTTGTCTGATTTTGTTAATATCTTGCTTTATTGTTATTATATTGATTTTGGTGTATAGTGTTGTGTCTGTTTAATGGTGCTGTGTTTTTATGTATTTATCTGTACACCACTTTGGTCCACGGCTGGAAGCTTTGAAGTGATCATCAAATAAGGGTGGATTGGATTGGACTAAGAAAGTTTGTAGAAGAGTCCGCCACTAATGAAAAAGGCTAGCTGATACAATAACCAGTCATGTGCCTGGGAGGTCTGGATTTATTAAAGAAACTGTGAATAATATATATATATATGTGTGTTAGTATTGCTGTTCCTTTAGCTCTACTGTACTGTTGAGGGTTGAGTGTTACACCTGCCCCACCCAACCTTTCGTCGAAAACTGTTATTTTGTCCACGTGTTTCTTGTAAAAATGCTATTTCTGTGTCTTGTATGAGAATTTACAGAATATAACTTCATTGAACCATTCTCTCCTCTAACAGTATATCTGATAAAACAGGCTACGCATCCTTCTAACATACTTTTACTTTTCATATTGTTCCTTAGGCAAAATAAAAAAGCTTGAGATGAAATTTTAAAACCACAAGATGCATGAAAAGTAAAATGGAGAAGAAAAAAGAAACACAAGCACACACTCTGAAACACGTTTGCTTATAGAACCAAAAATAAAACAACTACTGAATGATGACGAGCCGCCAACCTATGATTACACTTCCAACAGTTCATTTGTTTCATGTTGTCACCAGATATAACTACCATTTATGTTGCCTTAATAATTAAATGTCGGCTTTTAACATGTTGACTCACACATTGTACTGTTAGATTGAGTAAGAATTTATGTAAATCACATGTAAATATAGTAAAGGAAAGGAGAGCTGCTTAACTACGGTGAGAGCACAGGGGGAGGAAGGAAGTACAGGAACAGGCTAGGCCAGGAGGTTCTCTCTGAAGAGCTGGGTCTTCAAGAGCTTTTTGAAGATAGTCAGGTACGTTCCTGTTCTGGTGGTGCTTGGTAGATCATTCCTCCAGTGTGGAACGATCCATGAGAAGAGAACCTGGATTGTATTGTACGAGGTGTTTGTGGCTGGATGACTTTCCCCAGATGAGTGTAGTGGTCGTGTGGTAACAAGCCTTTATCAGAGTACCTCAGTAGGAGCAGACCCATTAAGTACTCTGTAGGCTAGCATTAGTGATTTAAATTTAATGTGGGCAGCTGTGGTTAGCCAGCGTAGCTCAGAAAACAGAGGGGAAGACATGTGACCGTTTAGGCTGATTGAAGACCAGACCATTGGCACTGGCAATACTGACCAAGACTGAGAGTCTGGATAATAGGTCGCTGTGAATAACTGTGTCAAATGCTGCTGCTATGTCGAGCAGGATGAGTACAGAAGACTAAACTGCAGCTCTGGAATCTTCTCAGGCTTCTGTCACAGACAGCAGAGTCGTTTCAGTGGAGTGCCCGATTTCGGAGCGAGATTGGTTTGAGTCAAGGACGTTGTTTTGAGAAAGGACTTCTGGTACTTCTTTACTTTTAATGATCTTAGAAAGGAATGGTCATGGTTTCTAAGCAGTTGTATTGACTCATCGCCCAGATGGACGAGAGGTGCAGTAGGTGGACAGTGCTGGGGTAGCATTGTTTTCAGTTTAATCCAGGTCTCAGTCAAAGCCGTGATGTCCAGTGGCAGGTAGTTAGCATAGGCAGCAATGAAGTCTGCTTTGTTCACTGCTCTCAGTTAGTCAGCAGTTCAATAGCCCTACAGAGAAGGAAGCACTAGTGACTGCGTGTGTTTTACTGGGCGGAGATCAGTAATGATACAATGCTATTTTGCAACCTGACATCGTCTGCAATAGCAGGAGACAACAGGAACATTATAAAGATCTTGCTTGGTCAACACGCACGGGGAAACACAAATGTAGTCACCAGATAATGTTTTAAAATGAGAAACGCTGAGCAACAACTGGAAACCACACTAACCTTTTTTTATTTTTAACCAACAACCTAAATATAATTTGAACCGTGCCAAAATAAAGGAAGGAAGGGAAAGAAAGTGAACTCCTTGTCACTGTGACACAGCACACCATAGCACACAACCAAATGTGACTTCTGTTTTTAACCCATCACCAAAGTGAACAGTGGGCAGCTTTAAGGACCAGGGAGCAGTGTGTGTGGACGGTGCCATGATCAGAGCACCTCAGTGGTAAAAATGCCATCCCTAAGAAATGTTATGCCTCAAACAAATTAAAAAAGAAAATCAGACGAAGTAGAGAGAAATCATAAAACATTAAATTTATTAAACAAATAAAAGTTAATGAAATAATATTAATAATAAAGGTGAAGATGATAATAATAAAGGTAAAAATGTAACAGAAAACAAATAACAACAATAAAAGAGAAGTGTAATTGAAAAGCGAGTCTGAAAAACGATTTAAAAATTTGATCTTCAAACAACTCCACCTGACATACCTTTTCTAGCAAGGGGGGGTTTGACCTCAGTTAAATGCCCTTTGACCTCTGCAGAGACAGAGACAAGGATGACAACTGATCTGTGAGCAGGCGGGTTTAATGGTGTTCAAAGTATACTATAACATATATTTTTGAGCCATCCTGTTCAGTGTGATTAAGTAAATTCTAATACATTCATAAAGCCAGAGTGAAGAGTCTTAAAGCAGGGAAATGTGTCCAGATGGTGTAACCTTAGTTTGACCTTTCACCAATGGTAAATAAAACAAGTTGTTGTGTACACGACTGTTGCACTACTTCCGGGATATTACTCAATATCTTAAATTCTGCACCTTTAAAACACAGCCTTGGTCAAATTTTAGGTAACTAAAATTACAAAATGTGAAACACCCAGGTTTCTGGCAACAGACTTTACTGTGTATGTGCAGACAGTTTTCCACAAGATGGCGTCGTTTAACAGGATAAATTTTACAGACTAAATATAACAAAATGGGCTTTGGTTTCAGAAAATGGTTCGACGTTCACATCCAAAAGTCAGTCTTATCACGAAGTCAACTTCGACAACATTACAACACTATCCGTACGTAGCATACACAGAGAAGGTCTTAAATAGACCGTACATACTTGACAGTACCACGTGACAACCAACAAGAATGTGTGGACACAGATTCTTTGTCAGATAAGAAGGAAATAATTCTGTAAAGATATAATATAAAATACTGGCAGTGTTATTGTAAATTAATTACATATTATATACATATCTGCCAAAACAAGTGTTTACTCACAGATAGAAGACAAAAAACATACCAAAATATTAACAACGTTCCCCTGAACAATATTTCCAGTACCGTACTTTTTTTAAGGGATATGGTTTGATTCTGAAAAGCTCATGTTTATGTTCTAGAAGTAAACGTTCTTGATGTCATATGTGCATTATTTCCTCACACTTCAAAATAAAATGATATATGAGAAAACACTGATTTAATTCAAACTAAGGGGACTGTAAGAGACTCTTTTGACATAAGATATAATACAGAGTTCTGGACAACAAATCAATGTTGGACATTTCATATTATAATTAAAAGATGGACTAACATCTCACAAACAAAGTCCACCTGGTCGTTAACACACAGAGTACTTTCAATACAAAGAATAAAAACCACATAGTCATATATCACTTGTTCATTAATGTTACTTTGTTTATAAAGATGCAGATGTTTATTGAAAGGCTGAGGAACGGCTGTGGTGGATGAGTGGGTTGATGAGGCTGAGAATGCCGATGCAGGAAACTTCAGCAAAGACAAAAATAAAAGAGAGAGAAACAATGGATTGCATATATTTCAAGACAGACCATCAAACTTAAAGCACATACAGTAACTGATGACTGAAAGGCCAAGAGGAATAAATCGGCATATATTTACACTCATGTATTAAGCATAAATGTAAACGTATGCTGATTTTTTTTCCCTGTAGGTGGGGTAATCGGTCCTTCATTGGTCCAACTGGTTCAATCACTGTGAAACATGCTTTGTATCAGTCTTCAATTATTCTAACCTCCTGAAACCTCCCCCAAAAGCCTGACTGATTAGAAAATCAAAAAGTGCTCAGTGACATCGTTTGGGTTTTGAAACCAATTTTTTAGCATAAAATAATTGACTCTCTATATTTAAAATAGAACCATTATTCCAGTGCTTTATCTACTAAAACGTTATCCATCTCAAAGTGACTTTGTACATTAAAATGATGCTGCTGCTATTTCTTTGTTCAACTGCTGATGGTCCTTAAGAATTGATATCAGTCAAAAGAAAATATAAAATAGAGTTCAATAAACCTTTTGTTTATTTTAACACATTTTAATATCCTGTAGTGTGTCAATATGTAATGAAATGCAGATTCAGCTCAGTGTGAAACCTGGACATGTCCATGTGAATGTATGTTTTTCATTATTCTACCTGTTTATTCCTAGAATTTGAAAAAGTACTAAAATAGTTCCAATGTACTGTCAATAAACCAAAGAAACCCATACACAATGTACTGTCAATAAACCAAAGAAACTCATACATCTTTATGGGACTCTTTCAGGAGTCTCTTGTACTGTGTGTAGGCTGTGTATAACATAATACTCTTTTCATTTATATAAGCCAGGTTCTGGCCTTATCTCCTGTGTTAAAGTGGCATCTCAGTGTAGAGCAAGGTTTTTATGGTTCACACCTTAGGTCTCTTCACTGTGTCTTTAAAATATGGTAATTATGAGACGTCTTCAAGGAATTATTTAGCAGCCAGAGTGCCGTCTCACAAAAACCTCTACTGGATTAATAGTGGATCTGAAAACTCACACACACAAAAACAAATCAAATATCTATCTATATTGAGAGACACAGTTCTAATCTCCTAACAACAACGAGGTGGAGGTTAATCTGGGGAAGAACTTTACAAGGAGTAAAGACCAGTGTTCACACTGCCGAAACATCTTTGTTTGTTTTTGTAGAAAAGAGGGTTTTTTTGATGCAAATGTCTTTGCTTAAAATATGATATAGGTATATATACTATTTGGAAATAAATACATTTAAACTTTGTTCCATGAAAGTGGGCGACATGGTTATAAATGTGAATTCAAAAGGTTAGTAAATATTTGCTTTGTTTTACCGGCAGTCTGAACAAGGTCAATGTTGAATTTCTATTTACAACTCTACTTCTTACAATACCATGTGGTATATACCAGGAGGTGTGACCTCTTATGGAGCACATTAAGTGTGCACACGATAACACCAGTCAGTCCTAAAGAGAGACGACAGAAGATATGGAAAAGAGGAAAGGAGTGAAATGAGTTGTTAAAAATAGTTTGGTTAGGTGAAGCATGTGCTAAGGTAGAGAGAGGATCATCATCATCATCATCATCATCGTCATCGTCATCAACAACATCATAATCCAGGCGTGGGCATCTTTTTGATTCAGGAGCAGAGAGAAGTGTTCGTGTGAACTAAGATAAATGACATGTAAAAGTCATGCATAAAGGCTAAAATACTTATCATTTTCCATCTATTGGTGAAACATGGGTATTGCATGGAGAAGGCAGAAGTATTATGATAATATAAATAAATTCTAAAATTTGGAAAAGTTTGGCCGGCCGGATTAAAATGGGCCACATCTGGCCCTCGGGCCTTAGTTTGCCCTTGCCTGTCATAATCAATACCAGCACAATTTCACTTACAACAAATATACTGTCTTAGTAATATAAACCCTTCAACCTTTAGATCTAGTGCTGTCTGCAGTAGAAGGCTGATAGGTGTAAAGGGCAAGTGCACATGTTTTTCGTTTCTGCTGTGACATACTGTACATAGGAACAGAGCAACTCCACTAAGTCGGATTAAGTTTGCCGCGGAATAGCCAGTGGAGAATTTGCCATACAGTGCATTAAGCCACACTCGGCTGCTAATGTTTGAGAAGCGCTACAGGTTAACTCCAGTGTCATCTCTAAACTCCAGTAAGGTGTTTTTGGTGGTGATTACATTCAGCTCAGCTTCAAGTATATTTATAAACACACAGTAAAGTACAGAGTAGTCTGATCAGACAATGTCCCACTGCTGCAGTGTCCCGGCCTTGACTGTCTGGACCCATCTGTCTGTCAGACCAGAGGGGCAAAGGTATAGTAGTCTGGGTTTTTGGCCCAACCAGTGAACGTTAGTTTCTGTTTTAAGGGGTCGAACCTTCCTGGGTTTTTTCCACGTCCCGAGCCTCCCTGGTGTCCACCAGCACTGGATGGGTTGAGGAGAGACGGCGTGGGCGTAGATGCAGAGAAGTGGCCCTGATAGGACTTATCGGCACTCTAGTTGATGGTAGAACAGGGAAAGACAAAGGACGTGTGGAAAGAAGATTAGGACAGGGAGGTTAGGTATGCAGCAATGAAGCATGTCCACAGATGAAGGATGGGGGCATCACAGCTGGTCACAGTTAGAATTTAGCACAGTCGGAACTTTTGGACAATTCTAGTGAAAAAAAACTTGCACTGTCATGACTCCATCGACCACCGTGCCACGGCACATTACTGGGCTGTCAAAGATCATCAAATGATTGATCCAATATTTAATTTCACTTCATTGATCTGAACTATTATTTATTTAGGGATGTAACGATGCATCGTGAATCAGTTAAAAAGTAAAACAAATGTGTGACAGTTCTCATTGGTTGACTTAAAAAAATGAATTAATTAACTTAAGCATTATCTCAAAAAGTCACTGGTCTACCATGTGACTACACACTCTAGTACAGTAGGTGGCGGTATGTGCCTAAAAACGTTGGTTGTGACCAATTATTAAACCAAGGGGTCTGTTCCCTACGTAGCCTATGTTACATTTTAATAAAATAGTGACAGAAATGTTTTGCTTTTCTAGCATTGTCCAAAATATATTTTAGAACTTATGTTATAATGTAATGGTCCCTCACAACGTTGTTGTTTTTTGCCATTATTGTACATTTTGTGTTGGCAAAAGCCATAGAGATTGAATCACACTTTTTACCTTTTTAAAACTGGTCCAGTTGTAATCGTCACACTTAGTTTTGTTTTGTTGTTTTTTTAAATTACAATTAAAACCCATGCACATTTTACATTGAGGAATTCAATAAATTATGTTTCATGCATCCAAAACATATTTAAACCAAATACACAAAGCAAAACTGAACACACATGCATAAGGAAAAGCATGCCTCAGGACACCAGTCCAGGTCCACTCAGGTGAGTCACCCATCAGGAAGTCAAGGTTGAGAATCTTTCCTCATCAAAAAGACCCCATTAGGACAATGATGCCACTGCATTATGGCATGATTGAAAAAACCTAGAAAGTCCCACACTCTTTGAAGGATACACACCAGGAAACACTGTGAAGAGTCTGTGGACAGGACTTACTCTGCTCACAGTCCAAAGACACCACTGTGTTAGTCAGCTGCAGTATGACTGTAGATAAATACTTATCTGCAGGAACCACATACTGAGGATATGTGAAAGCCATACCATAGAAACCCAACTACGTACTGTATGCACCTTAGTTCCACACACACACACACACACACACACACATACTAAGGTGTGCGTTTTACCATGTTGAAGCCCCTTCAGCTTCTGTGACAGCAATTCCATCTAGCAGTGCATCACAACTGTAGTAGACCGTGGCCCTGTCAAACCCTTTTTTATCGGTTTTACACTGAGGAAACACACAGGCATAAACACACACGCATACACACATGACTAGGTTACACACACAACAAAACACCAATTACAGCCTTAGAATAAAACTAACGTTAACCCCGACACCTCCTGCATTAACACAGGAGAGAGTTTACTTTACATTGACAGATGACTTTAAGTCCAAAACAAAGATATATATACTGACATGCAATTACATTCATTCATGCAAAATATGAAATAAAACAGGAACGGGGTGATAAAAGTCAGAGGGAAGATCACCTTTACAGAGACAGAGTTAGAAACTGATTCTGCTGGAGGTCTGAGACAGCATAAAGATGGTGGAGGGCTCTGAGGCAAGGCATCGGCGAGACTGCCATTAAAAAGAAACAGCAGTAGAGAGGAGGAGAGGAAGGTAGGAACAGGGAAGGTCAATACAAATGCTTAAAGCCCGAGTCTGTAAGTGCTGTCGTATAGTAGGGTTTAGAGAATGGGAAATGATGTTAGTGAAGGAGCACAGCTAACCAGTTCATTCCCCTGAAGGATGACAAACCCTCTCCACAGAGATCACGTCACTGACTCTTACTATATCTGTACTAAACTATACATGTAAGTCCTATAAGGAGCTAATCAATATGTATGTAAGTGAATGAGATTAAACTGAGAAGTGTTGATCTTTTTCTCAAAAAGAATTCCCATCACCCACCTAGACTGAACATCTCCCCGAAAAGACTTCCAAGCCCAATGGCCATCTTCTACTTAGTTTGGTTCTCACTCTGAACGGCCATTCCACAGATTGACATGAAGATAATAATAACAATATTTAAATCAGGTTCTTACCTGTATGTACTCTGTAGTTGTGGGCCACAGTGCCCTCCACATGACCTTCTTCAGCACATCCGGCAACAAACTGGCTGTTATCAACAGAATTATACTCAGCCAGGCTGGACCACTGGACAAGACTTGGATGAACACATAGTACATCCTCTGGTAGTTGAGAAAGGGCCTTTGGAAGGCACAGTGAAGAAGAGAATTAGGAAAGAAGAAAGGTCAGAGAGACAGGTCACCATGTAATGGCCTTCAGATCTTCTTTCAGCTCTCCTCCTGCCCCCTGCCCACTTTCCTTACTTTTACACTAACAATTTCCAACAGCCTTTTTACACGTCATCTTCCTCAAAACTATCACTTTTAAGCAACCATGTTCTCTTTGCTCTAGCATCTTCTTAGCACACCATCCCAATAAGACATTCCCCTCACTGTCCACCAACCTGGCTTGTCCTTCCCTTTGCTTTGGCTATGACTCCCATGACCTCCTCCTCACACTTTTTATTCACTGCCATCTTCTTATGATGTCTCATGTTTGGATTCCATCACCAAATTTTCTTGTCATCTCTTAATCAACCCACTTTCCCTCACCACCTTAGCTGTCCTTTACCAGTCTTCTTGTAGCTCCTCTCACCCCCGAAAACCATCTCTCAACTTGTCTGTAAACCTTTCCAGGTTTCTACCATTTAACCTTTGAATCAGCCTTTACTCCCTTTCCCTCTTTTTCTGTTTCCCACTTGACGTACCGTATACACCGCCACCCTGTGCAGCTTTAAAATATCTACATCTTTCAGACGGCACATCCTTCACATCCACCCATGTCCATCTTCCTCCACTCCTGTGTTACCTTGTTACCTTGTCTTCTTCCCTGATTCCTAAAATAAGTATTGACCTCAGCCATTTCTGTCCGCCTCGCAGAGTCTAGTCATCTGTCCTTCTTCACCCCCCCAACTGTAATGCATGGGCTAAACGTTGTGCACTGTTTATCCAATAATTCCACCGTCCATCCACTTATCGTTGCTCTAATAAACAGTCGATTTTTACACACACTGCAGGAGCTTAAAATACCCTGTGAGCCTCCTGCACGTGTTTGTACGTGGGGCTTCAACCTCTGGTCGGAGGCCCGGCTTGAGCCAGTCTACACAGTCCTTTCCATTTGAAATAGTGACAAATAAAATCTGGTGTAAATCACGTCCATCTAAGTGCTTTCTGTCCTGGTAATATACAGAAAACCAACTATCAACGTACACACCCCATACTGGCACTCAGTATTTGCAAGTACACAAATGAAAATACTTGTTCTTGATTCTCTTTGTAAAGAATAAGGGGAAACTCCTAATTTATATGTAATATAAAATATATTTACCAGATGATTCCTCCCGACAGCAGAGAGAAAACCACAAAGAAGATTAATGAGCCCCAGATGACGAAGTGGTTGATCCATGTCCAGTAGTGAGTATCTAGAGCCAACTACAGGGGGATGACAACAACCATTAGCACTGAGCCTTGAAACCATGTGATATTGGACATAGATCAGAAACATACCTTAAATGTAACTGTAAAGACCAACACTGTGAAGACCAACGTCCCAAACGTCCAGTTCCCAAACATCTGTGGAAGAAGAGCAACGGCAGCCTCGATTAGTGGTTAGTTATTAATGTGAACTTAAGCCACAGACACACAGTACAGACAGACCAGTGAAGCTACTGTAGCATGTTTAGACTGGATGGTCAAGGATAGTTGACTAATAAAGATCACAAGCGCAGGCATCATTCTACAGCCCTGAAATACTGGATAAGAAATGAATCAATCAGACAAATGGAGGACATAAGTGGAGCACAGATAATAAACGGAAACATAGGCCAAGGTTGTCTGTATCACCTCATGTGAGATGTTGGTTTAACTGGACCACAGTACAGCTTTGAAAACACATCTTAAAGCAAAACCAAACTCATATTCATCATTAGTAGTTCTTTTGTGAGGTCCTGTTAAACTGAGTCTGTCATAGAATACTTTGTACTAAATTATACACTTAAAAGTCTTAGTTAGGGGCTTGAAAAAGAAATTGAATTCCTCAAATAAGGGCTGAAAGTTACAGTAAAATTATGCTTAAAAATGTATTTGGAGAAAAATATACATTTTTCATAAGATCTAGTGACCTCTTGTATTAGAGAAAGAGAAGAATTAGTAGAGCTATCCCTGTTGTTGTCTACAGTTTCATTATAAGGAGAATCTTTTGTGTATATCAGAAGTTTCTACTACAGTAATCTAAGGATTCTTTTTACACCGGATGTTGTTTCCGACACAACCTTTCTCATTTTTATACCAGGGCTGACAGTTTTAGGGGAGTAGTTTAGAGCCTGGTCCTCCATCTGAGGACCAACTGTACAGCAGACAATAATACTACCACTGGTACTACCACTAGACTGGACATTAGCATCTCAAACCCCTGAGGTACTGTATCAGCAAAACACATTTTTATTGATGTAATAAACTAACAAGAAATCAAAATATATAATATGGAAATAGAAAACAGCATCAACCAGGAAACACCAGTGTGATCTGTACCAGATGACTGAGGACCTTTGGTAATTACGGAAACGTTAATTAACAGTAGTGCTTAATATCACAAATAATTGTAATATCGAGTAATTGTGACATCCCTAGTACTGAGTTGAACATGATCTAAACCTTGCTCTGTGCAGTACTCGCTGCGGCTCTTTTGATGATGAAAGTTACTGACTCTTAGTCCTTAACCCTACTCTACCCTGGACTCTCAAAATGACTACAACCACACACACACACACACACACATAAACACATACACACAACCAAACAGAAGGTCACACAGATGACTACATTTGGTTCTACACAAGCACTAAGAGCGGTCTATGACAAAAACAAGGAGCAGATGATGTTTGTCTGTTCGTTAATAGGAAATATGAGCGAATGAAAGTGAAAAGACGTGAGGAGAGAGAAGGACAGGGACAGGCTTACCATCTGTGTGTTGGCTGTCATTAGCTTGGAGAAGGAACGATCGGGAAAATAAAGTTAAAAAAGGCCAAAGTAGGACAGTAAAGGTAGAAGAAACAAAAACCAAAACCAATCAAAACAACATTTCTTAGAAAATAATTGTATCTTTAAAAAAATGAAATATTCAAAAAGGATGTGGAAGAAGTCTTAATAAGCTTGAGTTTCTTCCATGTACAAAGAAGATTATAGTCAGTAAGTCTTGATCTTCTGTCCACGAGTTCAGCATTGAAGGGGTTAAAGACAAATTAAAAAAACCATAATGACTTTGTGCTGTTTTAGACTCAACAACTTCTGTGTGTGTGTGTGTGTGTCTTACTTGTCCATTGCTTGTGAAGGCGGTGTTGTCAAACAGGAAGTAAACACCGAAGAACATGATGAAAGCCTCGTAGATGCCGAGGAGGGTCCAGTAGATGAAGGTTGACCAGCGCAGAAGAGAGTTCTTTGCGATATCTCTGTGACAGCAGACATCACTTTTAGAAACCAATCCACACTCGTATACCCGGCGACACTTGTATCGACTGGTTCTACATCAGCCGCCTGTGCTGGAGGACACTGGACCGAAACTGATATCAGTAATGTGATATTCCAATTATGGCCACTATGCAGTAAATCAGGACAACATCGCTACTACAACATGATGAGAACAACTCAAAAGCGCATGATGCACGAAAAGGCAAATGTTCCATAATTGTATTATGTGGCACTTAGAGCCATAAAGGTAGAGAATTACAATTCACACACATACACGCAGAGTACAGTGTGTATGCCCCCCTTCACCCCCCCACCTGTACAGGAAAGGGTCCTTCTTCAGGACGTCCACATTAACGTGCTGCTCAATGAGACTGTAGATCAGAATGGGCAGCGAGGTGAAGCTGATGTTGTACAGAGTCAGGTAGGCTGTATCATAGAGAGGCTGGTGATCAGAGAGAGAGAGAGAGGGGAAACACACACACTTTGTGTGTGTGTGTGTGTGTTTGCACCTGTTGTGAAAATCCACAGAAGAACTGATACAGGAACTGAGGGAAGATGAAACAGACATTCTGTGCAAAAATACAGACAGAACAGACAGGTTAGAAATGAGCAGTAATTCCAATCCACATATGGAGTTTATGAATTTTTTTTTACCTTGTAAAAAAAGTACTGCACCAGTTCAGAGATGCGGATGTAGTAATAGTGACCGTGAACAAGCAGCAGCTTCTTTAGGTGTTTGAACTTTGGGATTGCGTAGTCACTGTTCCTCATAGCCTGACGTCCCTCTTTACCCATAATACCTTGAGAAAACAGAGCATTGCCGTTTCTGGGTAGGTTAAATTATGCACGTAATAATATCAGATTAGATTTGACTTGATGATTCCATCCTTTTTATCCTCAGTATCAGAAACATACAAAAACATCATGAGAAGTCCATTACTTCACAGTATATAGCTAAGCTAATAGCACATACAGTACAGGTTCCACATTTGCACACTGTATCATTCCATCAAACACTCTAGAACGTTCTAGTTGTATTTTTCTAGTTCCAGTTTCACAGGTAACTTAAATAACATATTTCCTGTTACACTGAGCTAACATAGGAGCAGAAGTGAAACTTGTATGAGTTATTTTTAATATCAGATGCTTAACTGACTAACCAATGCCTACATGGGCTTCCAGAATCATGCTGACATCATTAGCTCCATCTCCAATAGCCAACGTTATCGGATGTTCCTTGGATGTTTTGACCAACTTCACTATCTGAAAGGAAATGAAAGAGAGCAGGTTCAGGCGTTCTGTCTCTTGACAATATGTAGGAGAACTCTAGAGGGAACTTTTATAGACCTTTAAAATATCAAAAAAAAAAACAACAGCTTTTTGGGGGGAATATCCCATGTCCTTCTAGTGCCGGTCCAAACCAAGATAAAGTGGTGAGGGTTGCATCAGGAAGGGAATCTGGTGTAAAACTTGAGCCCAAACAATCATGCGGTTTTGGAAAATGACTTCCATATCAGATCGGATGTCTCGGTACTGTTGAGCGGTGCCGGTACAAATTGGTCGGAGACCATCATAGAAGAGATGTGGTCGATGTGTGAGGAGAGGTGGTAAAGGTGGATGAGGTTAATACCTACGGTCAACCGTTCAGAATAATGGACAGTGAACAGAAGAGGTGATGAAAACCGTGGAATGGATGGAGACGTTTGTGACAGAAGAATAGCAGAAAAGTTGAAAACAAGAACGTAAACCATGGTTGTCTCATTACCTGTGCCTTTTGAAGTGGTGCCATTCGACAACAGAGCACAGCGCTGCAGTTACGGCAGATATCCAAGAAAATCTCTCTGTAGTTTCCTGAGTTTGAGTCCTCCTGGCTGGGTCGCATCACCGCAGAGAGGGTGGCTCCATCGATGATCAGACCGTAGTCAGTGCAGTCATCTGACAAACTAGACCAAGTACAACACGTATAATAAATATATATATGCTGTATATTACGGTTAACATTTAATGTGTCTCTTCTAAGACACATCCTCTTGACCGTGCTAATTTCCAAGTGTCTAAACCAGGGGTCACCGACCTTTTTGAAACTGAGAGCTACTTCAAGGGTACTCAGTAATACGAAGAGCTACTTGTTTGATACAGACTTCCCATTCAAGGTAATAATGATCAAAAAGAATACTAATGTTGCTGCGTCAAGTTCTGGAACGTACAATAGAACCCACCTGACTATAATTGCAAGTGGAACTGATTCAAAAAGAACAGTAACAGTACAACTTTTGACCCCCTTGTTGACTAGTTTTATTTTTAGAACATACCCCACGGGCACCTTAGGTAGTCCATGGGAGCTCCCAGGCATCTAAACTATTTTAAATAAAAGGACCTGGATGTCAAATGCCGACCTAAGCAGATATCATCCCACCTCGAGAAAGTGTTCCTGGTCATGTTTCCATGCTGCCTGAGGATGGTTCTGCTCAGATCAAACAGGACATCATGAAGACTCTGCTCCTCCGTCCGTTTGGTGGTCAGCTCCAGGATTTGGGTGTTGGGGTGGAAAAGCTTGCTGGCATAGCAGGTCGCTGCTGCTGTCTCCATCTTGTCTCCAGTCAGGACCCAAACCTTAATACCAGCCTTGTGCAGAGACTCAATAGTGTCTGCAGCTTTGTCCTGAAGTCTGTTGCGAAGAAAAAAAACAAACAATTAAACAGTCAGTCAGACCCTGAAGTCTGTTGCGAAGAAAAAAAACCCCAATTAAACAACAATATAAATTAGTCAGATCAACACAGGTTTATCTGACTGATTAATAGAAATCAATCACCTGTCCTCCACTGCAGTGGCTCCCAGGAGAATCAGGTCCTTCTCTATCAGGTCGTACGCTTCTGCCAGTCGTTTGTCGCGGTCCTGCAGGGCCAACTTTGCATTACTCAGCAGATGGCAAACCTCTTGGTACTGTTCAGGGCTCAGACGTTTGTATGCCACACAAAGAGTCCTTAGACCCACCTACAACCCAATCAGAGCAGAGCTGGGCTAAGACGACATCAAATATATAATCAAACAAAATGTTCAATTCTGGTCGATCATTTTTTAGCCGATCTCCTGGAACACTCAACAACGGTTCCACAAATGTTTATCTTTAGCTGCCATAGCTACAAGCACAACCTCCAGGAAGCATTTAACCCTTTATGCTCCCGTGTATCTCACACAGCAGACTGTTCCAAACCCTTTTTTTAGTGGAGAAGTAACATTTTTGCAAATGTATGCGTGGTTCTTTAACCCTTTAAACACATATTGCTGAGTGTGTGTGACAGGCATTATACTGTATAGTTACCCAGCATGGTGTTGCCTCTATTAGGCCTCAAAGTCTGAAGTTTAAACTGTAAAATATTCTGTAAAAATAGCAGTAAAAACAGTCGAGGTTTGAAGGCAAATTAATAAAACACCCGAATCACACCACAGCACTGACTACACGGACACCTCACTTCACACAGGCGGAAAAAAAGAAGGAAAGTTTGTAAGGGGGGGGGGTGTACAATGATGTACCCTCAGTATTAAACTAAAAAAAGGTTCGTAGAGGCAACAGAAACCTAAGGCAGTGTTGTTAATCATGTGTCTAACATGAATGTCCCAGTGACGTGAGTGTCGGCTGTTGTGTGAACATTGATGGTGCTGAAGTGGGAACAACTGGAACATTAGAGTGAGTGAACGGACCATAAACTAAATGAAAAAGTCTCAGTGATGTGAAATCATCCAGAAAACAATAGACATGAAAAGTCATGTTATCAAAGTCAGGTTGATTTCAGATTTTCATCCTAGTCTTTGAACTCACCAGTGCGTTCTGCTCCACACGTGATCGAATCTGCTCCACCTTTCCTGAGATGACCCTGGGAAAGATGGAGGAGTCTGCCCCCTTACAGAACAGATAAAACTCTCCTGTACACACAAACCAAGAAAGAAATACTTTAATTTAAATGAGCCCAAACATATATATATATATATATATATATATGTGTGTGTGTATATAATTATGTATATACATATGTACATATATATATATTTATGTATATGTATGTATATTTACATGCACACACATATACATATAGAGTGTGAGGTATTGTGAGATGTTACCTGTGCTAGTTTTGACAATGACGCTCATTCTCCGTCTGACTGAATCAAATGTCAAAACCTCTAGCAGCTCAAACCTAAAAAATAAAAGTCATTTTCTGTTACATTTTACCAACAGTGTTATCCACTCTGAAAGTAGTGCTCCAAAATGTAATTAATCTTAATTTTAAAAAATCTAAAGGACACCTGTCTCTGATGTCTGGTCATCTTAACATGAACTCACCTCTCGATCTCATCCTCTCTGTTTGATATCTCCATGTGACCCTCCTTCAGTCTTATGTACGTGAACCCAAGCCTAAGGCAAATATTACCACGTATTACTGAAGTGTAATCACAAATGTTTGTAATGTCTGCTAATGCTGCTAATGCTGCTAACTGCACCTTTTCATTCCTTCCACCAGTGCCACCTCGTCAGGGGACGAGGAGATGTAAAAGGATGAAGACTTCCCGTGATGACTCCCATGTTTGAGTCCGTCCACCGTCTCCTCCTCCTTCACTTGCACTGTGTGGCACAAACACAGGGCCCGGAAAAAGAGCTCCTCTCGTTCCTGTGAGGGAACAACAGTGTCCAATGCTGCATCAGCCCTGAACACGTACACTTACATATTACTAAATATACAAAATACACAAAAAGGCGTTGACTCACTCTGCTGTCAGGACCTGGTGAGGTGTCAATCATGTCCATACCAACTGCATCAGGCATCAGCTGATCAGAAGAGAGGGGAGGGTGAGTGAGTGAGTGGGGGAGGAGGGAGAAATTACATTTTAAGAATGAAAACAAACAAATAAATAGAATCCATAGAAAAGTGTGAAAAAAAAACTAATACAAAGTTATAAAATAATTTAGATTCTGTTATTTTGAACCAATTTGAAAATGCTCAGATAACCATAATCACTGTCCGCCCAGTTATTACCTGGCCGTTACAAATGGCATGAGGCACATACACGTATCCATCCACACAGCACTCTATGAACTCCATGTTGTTCTCGGTCAGTGTTCCTGTCTTGTCTGTAAACACGTACTCAACCTGTGGAGAGCGTAGGAAAGAGAGCTTGTTTTGTTTTGTTCAGTTGGACATTTTGTGTCAAACCCTGAAAAGTTTCAAATTCACATGTGCAAGAAAATAGTGACGCAAATGACACCTTTCACTTCCTTCAAGGAGGATTTGGCAACAGTCATAACTTTCTAATGTATTGTAACAGAGAACTACACTCTATGACACTACAATACAACACTGCTATAAAGATTACATATCTTTCTAGAGCTGTTAGTGGCACCAAGATAAGTTAAAGGTAGTATCACTGATAGCTGTGCTGCTCTGTGGCTACAGTCAGACGTGACGTTGACGGATGACAACGTAATTTATAAAAAAATTGAACTCAGTTTCTCAGTCATTTTTACTATGTGTTTCCCATGTTTTTGTTTGTATTTGTTATTTTGTTTAACCCTGTGATGTGGATGACCATCCCTGGAGGAGTAATGTAGAACCAGATCAGACCAGGAAGATTCTAAGTGACAGTCGTTACAAATACGTGTATGTTTTACCAGTGTAATGTTTCACAGATAATTCATCAAGATTTGTTTATTGCCCAGCCCTGGCCGGACTCTATTACTTGTCCAAGTTCCTCGTTCAAGTCGGACGTGTTGACCACCGCTCTTTCTTCCGTCTCCTCATCTAACATCTCGTGGTCCCAAATGATGAAGTAGGAGCCCAAAAACTTTTGCATTTCCACAGTGACATACATGGAGACAGGGATGATGTAGTTGAAGAGAACCATGAAGGCCAAGAAGTCTGTGAACGCCCTAATCACCTGAGGATGAGGAGTGGGATGAACAGGACAAGATGGTGAACAGGAAGTGGAATGAAACGAAGCTGGTGAAATGATGTACCAGTGATGAACACTCACTATGTGTCTATGTTTCTCTGCTTCTGTTCTCTGGTTGTACCAGGGCTCATCCCTGTTGGCGTCCGCCTGCCACACATACTTTAGCATGGTGTTAATGAGGGACTTGCTAACGAGAATGCACAGGTAGACTACCAGGTAAGCATTCATTGACCTGCAGGATGGACAAGAGCAGTAAGAAAGGACCTGTACAGAAACATACTTTGATACTGGAAATGTCTATGCCCTTTTGGAGACCGTTAAAAATTATTGGAGGATATTATATTTATCCAAGGATGTTTAAGATATGACAACATATTTCAACAATTCAATTCTCTACGGCGCTGAAATACACACAAAAACATAATCTGATGTGACAGTGTTATTGTGTTCTGTATCCACAGATCTACTGAATAGAAGAAGCTACAGTTTGGCAAATAAGTGCAAATGCAGTTTCAGGTGGAACACCCAGTGTGTCTAGTAGCTACATATGTACAGACCACCTGAGGTCATGACCTCTAGATCAGGAAATGAACCAGTCAGTGATGATGAGAAACAGTGAACAGGTGGGAAACTAATGACAAACATGATGATCCACTACTGAATTGTTTTGTTTTTTTTTTTACAATTGGAACCTTACTTTTCCACTGCAGATCGTTTCTGGGACTTGGCCTGGTAATTCAGAGCCATCTTGGTTTCCATACCGGTGTAAATGGCAGCAGCTGAAAAAGACACATCCACCGGGGTAAGTTTATAAAATATATGTCTTGTTTTTTTTTATCTCATCTGTTATCATTAATGTAATATTGAAGATGTTTTTTCAAGTTTTGGAAAATACAGTTTTCTACACAGAACTGTACTAGGAGACTACAGTATATACAGAAATGAAGGCTGTGACATTACCATAGATGTACTTTGTGTTCTTCAGCGTGGCCCCCCGCAGCAGCAGGTTTTCTGACCCCAGCGGCCTGCAAACCCCACCAAGGTAAAAACACACTTTTAAGATGCACACATTGACTAAAATATGAGGTGTATACCATGCAGCCTACCTGGCCACTGGCTCATTGTTCATATATATGTTGATCCGACCCACAAATCTGTGAAAGATCAGAAGGTGTAAAAAAGATTTAGGGGTGTTTCTGTGAGAGTCCAGATGACATGTTCCAGTTCTACTGACTTGTACAGATCTGGTTGTGGCTGTTCACATTCTATGGTGCCATGGATGGAGGTCACCTCCCTCTCATTGTTGTAAGCTTTAGTGTCCTGGACTGCATGGTATGTCTGGCAAAAGAAAACAACCCAAAACCAAACAGAAAATATGACAACTGAGCAAGAGCCAGTAAAACTGAAGAGAGACACAGTGACCTAAAGCTGCACTTTTCACACATGACTCCATACACACCTTGTGGCTGCTCTCACCATCCAGACTGGCTGTAGTGACGAAGCAGGTGCCGTCATGTTGAGATGAGGACAGAAGTATGAGGTCACATGGAAAAGACTCGTCTTCTTTCACCAGTACAATGTCTCCGACCTGAGAACACAGCACTACTTTGTTTATTCACTCATTTGTTTTTATGGATTCATAATCAATTATCAAGATCCAGATTGCCAGTACAAAATTAAGTGTCCACTCTTCAGATAAGAGTTACACAAACCACAAAATGGAGTAATGTTCCCACCACGGAGCAGCAGTTTGAGTTTAGTGCCTTCATAAACACCTGCTCCGTTTGACGGCGTCTCATTTCACTGTCAAATCCTCACTGCTCTTCAGACCGTGTTGAAGGTATTTTGACATTTCCTGTGTGGAAACGTCACACTAACAGCTGCTTGAAGACGAGCGTTTCTAAAGGGTGTTTATATTCTGTTGCTGTGAGTGAAGTAATGTGAAGGACCAGTCAAGAAGACCCACACCAAGAGTAATGAGTAAGGACCAGATCCCATGGAGCCAGGCCTGGGGTTATAGCCTATATAGCCTACCTGTTACTCATCATTAGTCAAAGGCCCAACACCATCACTGAGTGCCTGAAGACATTGTCCTTTTTGGGGTCCAACCCAAGAAGGGGACATTAGTCCATCCTCCAGTGGCCTACAGGAGGAGCTAAAAGGTCTGATGTGTTGGATTGGACAACAGTCATAGGTAGAGTCTGCTGGGGTCCAAGGAACACGGAACCACCTTTATTATAAGGCTGTGTACAATGTAGGCTCAAAAACAACACATCTTAACAGGGATCAAAGTCTTTTCTTTCTTTGAGCTCACTCCTAGCTCTACTCTCAGGGTTGTGTCTTTCTCCCTGTGGGTCAGGAGGTGGCGCTGACAACTGTTACTGTACTCAATTCAGAATAACCCTCCTTTGGAAAGGATGCTAGAAACTTCCACAGTGCTCTACACTGAGGGGTACGGTGTGACCAGGAAGGACTACTTCAGGTCAGTTATGATGGAAGTCTGACACGGTTAGTAATGACAGTTTGTTTCCTGTCATTACTAACCGTGTCAGACTTTCATCATAACTGACCTGAAGTAGTCCTTCCTTGATGCACCCATAACCTGCTGTCTGGACTGTGCACTATTGAGAACAGCTGAGAAGTGCTAGCTGTTTCAAGAGATTGACTTTGGACCAATCATGTGAAAGTGTTTGGATCTGACAGGTTCCACTTTGTTACAAACCATGACGTCAAACCAACTGCAGCCACGGACCTAACACTGCTGCCTGTTTGTTTTTGTTTGTTTCTAACTCTGTCCTTTCCTCCTGACAGTCAACCTCTGCTCTCATCAACAACTCTCACTTTCTCTTGGTTGGCCACGACAGTTCTTTTCGCTGTAATCTTTCTATATGTTTTCCCTGACCCTATAGAATGGCCTTTTGGCACCTCTCTTTTCATTTATTGATTTACCTGCACTACTTTGTTTTCTCCTTTTACCGTGTCGGATTACTGCTCACTACTCTCTGAGGTGTTAAAGAAGCTCTGGGTTTCTGCACATCAACAGAGTCAGTTGTCAGTGTGTTCTCAGGCCTGGACTGGAGCTGTGCTGGGAGTTCAGTCAGGATTTTCCTTTCCCTAAGCCTTCTCCAGAAAGTCTTAATGTGTACACTTAAATAATAATACATTTGAAAAACAACAAACTAAAATATAATCTCAGACATCTATTTATTAACATTTCATTACATTTGAACTACTCACTCTTTGCAACTCATTTCAAACTGAATACCCCTGTATAAACCTGTCTCTACTAACAAGTTGATTCAGGTTGTTTTGATGTAGTTTTCCAAAAACTGGTTGTTCCACCTGACGTAGAAAGTGTTCCAACGTACTGTATATATGACTTGGAGGTAATGAGATCGGTGTTTCATAGAGACCTCAACCAAAACATTAAATGAAATATGTATACGTCATATTTAAATATTATTTGTAGTCCAACTGTGTTTAAACAAAATTGATTATATCAAATATAATACTATATTATGATAAATAATATGATTATATGTATTTATATATTGAGTCATTAGTTAATTCATTGTAAAGTTTTCTTAATACTGTCAGGAAATATAATCTCAGAACTATAGTGAAGTGCAACTCAAATGAAAACAAAGAAAAGAAAACAACACCCTGGCGTTGCCGCCTGTGTTCTTTTGTTTTTGGTCCCTGTAAGTTGTAGAACAGAGGCGTGACCGTGGAACACCTACCCTGAGCTTGCAACTTTGTTTGCACACAACGTTCCCGTTCTCCACCACGTGGACGGGACAGTGGTTGACGGCGTTGTCCGATTTGTGTCTCAGCCAGTCCTCATAACCCTGACACGAGAGAAGCAGTGATCAGTCGTGAAACATGATCGAATCAAGTGTGGAAAAAAACTAAGTCTTACTTGTTTGATGGCTGTGACTATGATGACAAAAAACAGTGGCAGTCCACTGGTGACCGGACTGGTGGGCGTGTCGATAATCAACTTATGTGAGAGAGAGAAAAAAAAACACATGTTAATTAATTAAAAGTTAAAAGTTCAGATAGAAATGTTATACATGTGACATGAGAAACTTATTATTTAGTTATTATTATAGTTATTATTTATTATTATTCCATAAACAATTAACAACAATAATAAATACTAATGATGGACAAACTTGAACAAGAAAAAGCCCAGAATTTTTATCTACAGTTCAATAGTGGTTAAGATGTAATATACACAACGGCTGGGGGAATGGATGACAAATAAACGCCATAATAAACAGCTGGTTACCAGTGAACCAGGCATGTAGTTGGTTTAAGTGAACCATATTTTAAAAGTCACAAATCTTTGTGGCCTAAATCAATAGACAGGGAAACATAGCAGTCGACCCAAAATAAAACTCTTACGACCCACCTGAGGGCCGTGACCCAATCTTTGAGAAACAATGCCATACACAATCAGATAGTTTCCAATTAACCACTAACACACTTTTACTTTTAACATCAAATAAACATTAATATGAAGTACTCTCACCTGGACCAAGAATATGATCAGAAAGTAGAAGTTGGCTACTCTCCTGAACTGCTCAAACATATTCTTTGGGATGAAGTTCCAAAATGTGTACTGAAAAGAAAAAACACAGTATCATGTGTACTCCTTTAATGAATGGGTAAAGTGCTGAGGGTTTTTATATGTAGTGGAACTTCTACCTACAGAGGCCTGGGCTAATGTGCCTGTATGTAAGAGACATAGTGAGTACTTAATATTATTAAAGAATACTTGTGTGTGCACCATAGATGTGGACACCACAGTTTGTTTATCAGGTGTTTTAAAGTTAGACTGTAGTATTTTTGTTTCCTTTCCTTCCTTCCATTGTTCCATGCAGTGGTTCACTGACCTTGGAGGAGACTATTCTGTTGTCAGGAAATCGTTGTTGTATAAAGGCCTCGGTGCCAGGGGGAGGCTCCTTGTGTCCAATGTAAACGGTCCTGGTGTCCACCCAGTTGTCTTCACCTATACACTGCAGGGACATAAACAAGAGGACAGTTTTATTTCTTAAGCCTGTTTAGCAAAATCTTATTAATTAATGAATTAGGCTAATCCAATAGTTGAAACTATAGACCGGCAGATAAAGAAAACGGAGAGGCGTGTTACAACAGACGATTAAGTTTGATCTCTAGCTCATGTTTCATGGGACGATGTCTCGTCACTTATTGGTGAACAACACAAGTTCCTCCTCCTCGTTTGTACTAATCACAAATTGAACCAAGTGGGCTAGCTTAGTCACTAGCCATTTGTTGTTATGCCTTGTGGCGCAGTTAGATATTTCATTGATTGTGCCAATATTTTGAAATCAAATTTTATTGGGTTTTTCATGTAAAACAACTGATACTGTATATACTAGGAGTGTGTATTGTGAAAAATGTGGCAATACAATACGTATCACGATACAGGGCCAAGGATACAATATATTGCGATATACTGCGATACCATAAGCACAACGGTATATTGAGGTTTTTTTAACAATTGAATTGCACTATGGTGTTACATGATTAACACCAGGTTACTGAAATCATAACAGAGGGATCTACATCTGTAATCGTTAGAGAAGAAATAAAAGCATTTGCAGGATTTTTTAGATTAACAAATGAAAAACACAAGATTGTTTGATTCAAATACTTGCAGATATTTGCAGTACCTGTACAATCAACTAGAGGTCAGAGGTTTAAATGCAACACAACAATGAACCAACATCATTAATATTTGCATGTAAATTGTTAATAAAAAATCAATACAATGCTGTAGAATATTAATATGTTATCGCGATATTTGGCTTTGCGATAACATATTTCAGTGTATATATATTTTCTTACACCCCGGTACATACGTATATTACATTATTTTGCTTACATTGAGCTGATGTCAGCGGCTGAGGTGATCAGACATCCCTAGTTGACACTAATTAAATCAAAGTCGGGTTGACATCGACTAGTAACTGATGATGTCATTGGTATTTTTTAGTCTTTAAAAAGAAAAATCGCAATGCTTTCCACAAAACAGAAAGAATATCATTCGGCAACTCAGCTGCTACAGATATATCAAGGCCTTAACCATTTTTGCCCAACAGTTTTTATAAGAGCTTTTGTTACCATATAATAGAACTGAATGTGGTTAAGTCTGGAATGCAGAATACACGTGAGCAAACATTCCTACCTGGTTTGTACAAACACACCACCTCCCTCCCCTTGCCCCACACCCTAAAGTAGATCAAATACTGCAACTTCCTACTGAGTCCACATTACCAATCTCTTTACGACTGCAAAGACACAAATAAGACAACAAGAGGAACCATCTGATTGGCAGCCTGACAGACTTCTTCAGTCGTCTGGTGATTACAGTGCAGATGTCAAGTGGGAAAAGAGGCACTGGTTACTACAACTAACACTTTGTTGTCAGGACTGGTACACACTCCAGGGCCACTTTAAAGCACATGTGCCCTTTAACCAACAGAAAGGACAGTGGAGGCAGCACAGTGAGTACTCTGAGTGTACTTGTCCTGCAACACAGTGAAAGGCTGTCATGTCAATTGTCATTCCTTTCTTGAAGGAGTGTGTGTTTGCACGCGTAGGGAGTGTGCTGCCGTTGATCTCATGACACCCCCATGACTTTTTATAGTGTCCATTGTATACAGCTAGGTGGGTCCTCCACAACATTTCTCATCATGTGACAGGCCACGTATCATGTGACAGCCACATTGGGGAAAAAAGTCCACCAGACAAACTAAATGACCTCAAGAAGTTCCACTAAGGAAGACTTCATACCATCTACCATCATCCATAGTGGCCTCGAAAGAGCAGCAGCCCCAACACATGCACAGAAGGCTCCCTGAACTACTTCATTATCTACGGTAGAAAATCAAACAATTTGGCCGAGTAAATGGTCAAAGATAATTCTTCTTTGTAATAATACAGTACATATATAGGTAAAATATTTGTAATCTTTATTTTTTTTGTTCTAAACTAATCATTTTCCTTCTTGATTTATGTGTCAGACTTATTTAGTATTTAATGGTCTTACTGAAAACTGTTAGAGGAGGTTGGTCTGGTTGGTGGAGCCTCAGTGACTCACATCACATGATGATCAAGTGATGCAATCTAGAATCAGATCCAGGTCACAGGGTCATTCAGGTCACAAGGTCCTTTTAAGTTTCAATGTAATTTATACTCTGTAAAACTCATGTAAACTGTGCTGTATTATGTTAGGGAGGATTATTACAGATAAACCAAGTAAATAAGAAACAAAACAAAACAAAGCTACAACAAAAAGGAATCTATGCTCTGCAGTCAGTATTGGCTCGTTCAGTGGTGTGTCCGTAATGAGGGGTGTTCAGATACAGTCGGAAATGTAAGAATCATAAAAAATACTTTTGCGAAATAAATCTTTATTGAATTTAAAATGGTTTGCTTGCATGATTGTGATATATTGTTATTACATTAGTGGATAATCTGGTCTTAAAATAAAGTTAGTTGGTTCCATAGTGTAACAGTTAGCATGCCTGTCTCGAAAACAGAGAGCAGAGAGTCCTGGGTTTGATTTCCCAGAGAGCAGCCTGTTAGCAAGAAAACACAAGAATTTCTCAAATATGGGTAATTAAATATAGTACAAATTCATTTTTTTATTTTTCTGGTGGCAGCCCAAACTACTGTCTGTAGATTTACTTTTAGAAAGAACCCAAAGACACTATATATATATATATATATGTGTGTGTATATATATATATATATGTATATATTTACATTTGACATCATCCACAAAGTGCTGCTTTTCTCTGTAAAATAATGCCTTAAAGGCCTAAATAATTCAGACTGCTGTTCATTCACTTTAGCCTGTGATCGCCTGCAAGTTTTCAGCCAATAATCAACATCATCAATAATGTCCCAAGTAAATACAGAATCGAGGAGGTAGGGTTATTGAGCTAAATGGAGGAAAGTAAAAGGGGTTAATGTCTGCAGAGTGTTCCATCAGCATCCTTTCTCTCTCACATGAGGACCACTGGGAATAGCGTACTCTAGCAGTGGGGCTTTCATCCTTTTTCCTTTGTGTTTTTCTTCAGACAAGGAAAATATAAACTTGTCTTTAGGCTCAGCATTTTCATGGCAACCCAGATCAATGTTAACTCTGAGACCTTGGTTCAAATGCTTTATGGGGATCATCTCTATATTGGATAGAGACCTCTGCACACCATTACCCAGAGCAATCTATCATCTGTCTCCATTTTCTCAATGTTACTGCAACAATGCAGATACTTACTCTTAATGGAGCGTATCCCTGTGCACCGTATGACGACCATTACTGGCCTCTAAACACTGAAACAGGCCATAATAACATTTAGATTTTACTGTAAACGTGGGCCATATTTTATGCATGTTATTCCATTAGTAAGTTTCACATTCAGGTCATTTTTATCACAATACAATGAATAATGTATTTTTGGAAACATTTTATGGTTTGGTGTTGAATGTGAAAATTATACTAGCATTTTCAAAAAGGAAAGAAAAGTGCACGCAGCCACTTAGGAGCCAAAAGAGATTACCGGTATTCAGAGGTTAAAAATCCTGCAGTGAACCACAGTGCACTTGGCTGGTGATTGGTAGATCATTAGTAGGAAAAGGCTGCTCCACAAATGACAAATCTATAGTTATTAGTCAGTTAGCTCTTTGACTCGCTACTCACCATTCCCTACAAACAAAGATGTTTCAGGTAAATTAAATTTACGACACTATGGGAAAACCAAACTATTAAAGGTACAAAATTATTGAGCAGTAGGACTAGCCAAAGTCACCTTTGAAAAAGAAATCCAGAAAAATATAATATATAACAGTATAATGACACAATGAATAAAATGTATAACAACTATTTGAAAGAATGGTGTTGAAAAGCAGGCAAAAGTTAATTGGAGGGTTAAACATTTATATGTATATATTTTACAAAAAAATCAATGGTTTTCTTAGTAACCAATTGGAAACACGTTTAAAACTAAATCTGTTTGTCAGTCCTGAGAACAGAGAAAATAGTTGTCTAATAATTTAATATTGTTTAGAAATAAGATAAAAAAACTTGAGAGGAGCTTCTTCTTCAAAATTAGATTTTTTATTTCCCCCAGAGAACTGATGGTTTGTTGTTTACATTAGGGGTTGCCCACCAAAACAAGTACAATGTTAGTGGAAGTACCAAGTACCACTAGGAACCAGTACCAGTAGGAACATGTCTATACTCAATAAATAATGCAATGGACTGGAGAGCAGGGTTAAAGAGTTGGCAGAGATGACCCATCTTCAGGGGTTTATCACATGTTTCTGATGGTACAGAACTCCTCTTACAGTGAGTGTTGGTGCTTTTCATGTCACACTGACCGACCGCTGCGCAGCTGTTGTAGTGAAACACTGTGACGGAGTATTGGGTTGCTGGACTTCAGGAGTGTTCCAAGTATCACAGCCAATTGTACTACAACAACCCACTTAGCACTGGCTCAACAGGGTGATTCCATCATCACTTATTATGCTGCATTTTTTAACAGTTTGTACAAACAACTGTTAGAAGTGAAGCTGTAAATGAGATCAGATGCTGCTTCAGACTTATAGTTAACTGGATTAAGAGAATAGGGGCAAAATGAACATTGGTAATCCCTTAATCCACCATAGACAGAGACGGGTGTCCAGATACTGCCACCTAGTTTTTCCTGTGCTGTGAGGGATCCTTGACACTTCTGTGACTGCTGTGAACCCCTCCTTCTTATGGGTGGAGTTCATGTTTTCCACTAGGCCTTCCCTTTTGATTGAAATAACAATGTTTGACCACAAGACTTTTGGCCACAGGCGCTTATTTACATTACCATGGTTCATGATTATCATGGCCCTTTTGTTTCAGGGGCACAGGATGTTTGATTGTCACATGAATCACACACTGGATGCAGATTAACATTGATCATGACATCAGGGGGGATTCCATTAACAACGCCCACTGGGCAATCTCAGCACAAGCTTCGGTCACGATTCCTGGGCAATCTCTACTTGGCTGTATCTGTAACAGAGGCACTTCCTGTCCAGGGACCCAGATTAGTCCACAGCTAGGAATGCAGTTAATACACTTTCACGTGTAACAACCACACATGGCATTCCATAAGCAATACCTTTATATTCTGATAGTTGACATTTACTTGAGAGGTGTCCAGTTAGAATGATAGTATTTTTTGTTTGTTCTTTACTGAGGAATATCTTTTGATAAATTCTGTGTATAGCCTTTTTACAAAGAAGAAAGATGGCAAAAAGAAGTGAGAAAAGCAGTTGTAGTTATTATAAAGTATGACGGCACTTAGCCCACTTACTGTTAACACATTTTACATTGTCGTCGGTTCAGAAATCTGTAAGGTTCTTTGTCAAACAAAAACAGAAACAGCTTATGCTACTGGTCCTGCAGTGTCCTGTAAAGACAACCTGAAATCTACAAATTCTTAAATTGAAGACATTGTGAGACGCCAGGTGGCTTAATCTTTTCTTTCTATCTTGTGACCTTTATTACATAAGTGAATGAAAAGAGAATGTTTTTATGTGTTAATCATCAGCTTCTTTGTAAGAAAACAAATAATGATCTAATGATCCACAGTCACCTCTGTAAGATTTTAATGTCTATTAACAAAACAGTTTCCATGTGATGCATGTTTAATTGTCACGTCATGCAGAGTTAAGTTAAAGAACATTAGAGAAAGACAGACCTTTTGTTCACTCTCATATGATAAGAAGAATTTTTTAAGAGGACGGCACACAGATACACACAAGTTAAAATGACACAGTCACTGAAACTCATTGATGACTTCTTATATTCATGGGAAGTGTAAGCAGAAAATGAGGTTGCAAAGAGAGGAATGTCACTTCAGTTCTACGACTAACTGCCTGAGGGTGAAGTGCTCAGCTCTATAAAGTGAGGAATTCATACGACTCTGGGCTTTGTCCTCAGACTATGTAGGCTTGGAGACGTGTACCCTCGAAATATATATTGTCTTAACATATAGTCTATGCAATAGTATTATAGTTAATATAGTTAATATATTCCAGAAATGCACGTCAGACTTCCATTCCAACAGTGACGTGACATAACTCTCATTTTTGCTGATGAAACATACTGTGCATCAGTACCTATGTCACTCACCTACACTAACACAGTGGTGACATCATCATCTAGGACATTAAAGCGTCAGAAGAGTCTGACTTACACCTGGGAGCCATAATGAAGGGCAAAAAGTTCCCAAAAGAAAAAAACAGCACAAATGAAAGAAAGTGATTGTAGCACAATTCTATGTATGGCGTACAACTGGCGAATATAAACAAGGGTGTCTTCCGCCTGACAACGTATTTGGCCACTAGTTTGCACGGGAACTAGTTGGTGAGCAGAGCGGACAACTTTTAACAACGTACATCAGAATGATGTAACAAGACTTTCTTAATATGTTTATGGCGAAAGACAGTGTAACCACGAAACACTGTAGTTCAACGACAGTGTAGCAAGGACTCTGTGTACCTACAAAATGGGAAAAGATAATAGTATTAAATAAAACTGCCCTGGTACTGATAAATTACTCCAAAACTTATCGCACACACAAACACACAGACATAAAATAATGACTTCTCAAGAGCATTTTTTTGTTGTTAGATTGATCCATGAGCCTCCATGTCCTCTAGGTTTACGAAACGTTTACAGTCAGCATGCTTACAGTCATAAAATGTCCAGAGGCTTGTGCACAGCTCATGAATCATAGTGGAATGCTTTAAGTATATCTTTGGGTTACCGTATACCTTGATTACTGGATAATCGATTGGCTTTTTGAGAAGGTTTTTTTTTCATTAAAGGCCAGCTATTGACAGATAAATGCTTCCTGCAGTAGTTTTAGCCTCTTTACCTCCAGATCGCTAATCAATTTAGCCCAATCTGTAAGTCTAAAGCAGTTATACAGATCAATTACAGCAGCAGACATCATCAGCATCCTGCATCCTGGCGATCAAAGCCCTGTCACAGCATGTTTCTGACAACAACGTTTCACTTTAGTCACGGCCACCAAATGAGCCATTTGCTACAGTGAGAAGCATTGGTTGAATATATGGAGCCCTCCTCTGAACCTGATTCTCATGTTCCATCAGAATTGTTGTCAAAGACATTACCATGGAGCTTAATGCAGGACATAGTCATAGAGGCAGGCTGCTCCTCTTCGGACCATCGATTTAACTAGCGCAGAGACAACAATTGGATTACATAATTCATGGGACTGAATTGGCTGGTTCCATTTATAGCAGGAGAAAAAGCAGCATATTGAATGGGAGTAAATGCAATCAGTCCAACATGTCCGTAGATTATTTAAATCTGATACAGAACGTATAACAGAAAAGACACTACAAAACAAATAATGACTAAATAAATTGGCCTAACCCTTTAATCAGTGGGTCCATCAGGATTAGAGAAGGTAAGCTGTAGCAGTTGTCATGTTCATACATGTGGAGCTTTTTAACAAGATAACTAACTGGTCAGACAGCCAAGCCAACAGGTAAGATGGCCGACTCACACCGACATTAAATATACATTTTTAACTATAAGAAAAGTGTCCTAGGTCCTAGACTTCAGACCGGACATCTGAGTATTAAAGAATCCATGATGGTTTAAGGGGGTATTATACTACTCTTATACAGATTTGTATGGTTACCTGATGTCTGTATGTAAGTAACATTCTTCCATGAGTTCAGTGAATTTTCATTAACTTGATTAAATTGACAGACACAGAAATCTGTGTGATCTCTGCTCTCAGCCGACACTGTGGCTGCCGTACGTGCTGTGGCCTGAACAGCTGGGTCCAGATCTTTACGCCTTGGTTGTTTCAACCTTGAGATTTGGCCAATATTATACTTTTTTTATACATATATTATATGTACATTTATTATAATATTTTTATTTTTTTTTTGGAAGTCTGTTTTATAATTACAGATGGGCTGTCACACAGCTGTGAAGAAATTGTTTTCTCTTTTTTTTTACTCAATATGTAGACAATGCACTTGTTGCGCCACAATCCGTGCTGTACATGGACATGAGCTGTCCAGAGTCACGTATGTGCTAAACAAATACAGACAGATCCTTGCCCAGGTAGCATTGGTGTTGGAGATATGGGGGAGGAGGAGGGGTGGGGTATTATTATTATTATTATTATTATTATTATCAACATGTCACAAAGCGGGTGAAATCCCTGCAGCTCATTTTTAGACATTTCCAGATTTTAACAGGTCATAAAGCTTCTACTCAGTTAAGGAGTAGGCAGATACTCTAAAGAAGCAAATATGCGGGGTCAATTTTGCATATCATGTCCCCCCCTTATATTGTGTGAACCTTTTTCTAAAAAGAAATTAAAAATGGTACTTAATAGTTAAAAAGTAAGCATTGAGTTACTTACTGTATGAGCCAATTTGCAGTGTTTCAGTGAATAAAATGTATTTCAAGCATTCTCTGTAGTCAAGACACAACCCTTTCCTCCCTTGGTCCCTTTTCTGTTTTATCATAGTCGTACAATTATTTAACTAAGACAGTCATTCATTTATGACAAAAAAGGCACCACCAAGTCAGGATTAACAAGTACTGGAATGAGTGCATGATGAAAGGAAGACAATCTGGTAAAGAGTCGAGGGAGTGCAGCTGAACATATAGGTGGAAACAGTTGAGCAGATTGAAGAAGCGCAAGGAACAGTCAAGGAACAGACATATTGTTGAAAATGTAAAAACAATACATTTGGGAAATATTTTCCATGTCTATAGAATCCTGTTCAACTTCAAAGTCACAATAATGAACCAATTCCAAGTCATAAATGAAAACAAAACCAGTTATATTTAAATATCCATATACACTTGTATATAAAAAACATTTAAGCATTGGGAGTTAAATGAAATGGTCTTCATGAAATGGTAAACTATATATATACAGACTTATATTAAATATACATTTAATTTAGATTAACAGCAATTTTCATGCTTTTATTATAATATCTGTACTACATTTCAATGCACTATCATCGTATTATTTTTACATTCAAAGACTCTGTTTTTATGGTACAGTCTCCTCACTGCTAAAGTTCAATCGAACGGAATCGGACCGAATTTATTCTAGTCTCTTCTTGACTGTGTTTGATGTTTGGGGATTGTACTTGTTATGACGTGGTATGAATTGTGGATTTACATGGTGGGCTGTGGTCTGTGCTTTCTTTTCCTGGTTTGGAAGTGTCGATAAAACGTCAACTTTGTCGAGAAGAGGGCCAGTGCCTCCCCCTACCCCCCGTCTCTATCACCGGGTTCTGTGTGAAACTTAATCGGGATGAGTTTCATCTTGGACGAAAACCGATACCTACACTGAACAAAAAGTGCGCCGGTTTGTGTGACCACGGTCAGACAGTTAGGGTGTGTTGAGGTGGTAAAAAACTCACATATCTCCTGATGAGCGTTCGCACGGTGCTCAGACCCATCCCCATCTTGCTTCTCTCTCAGCTTCTGTCCTTTTTCCACCAGTATAATCTTGGGATTAGCTGCGTTTCAAAAATTCATCGTCCATAGCTGTCCGTGTGGGGAACCACAGTCTTCCTGGTTTTAACACTGGAGGCCTGGCGAGGTCCACTGATCAGACATGACTTTAATAATAGTCCCCAGACTGGATAAGACTTTCGAAGCCTTCGGTGCAGGTACGGACAAGTGCGCTCCTCCTCCTCCCACTGCTGCTGCCTTTTCTCCTACCTCCACACAGGCTTGGATTACGCCTCACTCTCCCTCCCTTCTTACTGTGCGCGTGCACGCACGGATAATCTTCTTGTCCTGACCAAGGAGCATTAATTCGGTTAGGTTCCACGAATGTGGCGCATACGAACTTCTTCTTCTGAAGGGACGACGCATCATTATATTATTAATTATTTATTTATTTTAATTAGTTGTTGTTTTGTAATAGTAGTAGTAACAGCTGTTGGCGGTGTTGCTGTTGTAGAAGTAGTCTTTTCATACATTATTATTTGTTTGTTTTAGAAGAAGAATCACGTTTATCGTCAATGTACACACACACACACACTGATTATACAGTACACACGACGACAGTTGCCAATTCCCGGGGAGCAGTAATCGCTTTTCGCTCGAAAGTTAAGCTCGGTGAATGTCTGACATTATTAACTAACTTATTAACTTTTAGTCTATCGATTTTTTAAAAAGATAAGGCACACGTGCGGATAACGTCGTAGGCTGAATAGACAAAGAAGATCGGATTGTCTAACATTTTTTTTGCTGCCTAGCGTAGTTGCACGGTAACGTATTTGTACGACTTCTCTGCAAGCAACACTTTTAATAGTAATACGACACGACATTTTCACCCAGTACAACTCTGTCTGGGTTTGTGGGGAGTAAGAGCACCTGAAGTGTGCACTTTGTATAAACGTGTCTCTGATTAATGCAACATTCTTGGCCTTACACAGTGTTCACTTGGGTAAACCAGCCATAAATAGAGAAACACCCATCAAGGATGAACTTCTTTGATAACTGCTTGGGAAAAGTCTTTAGGATAACTGAGGCTAATGAATATGTTAAATGTACGCTCTTTCTTTCTAATCTTAAGTCATATTTATTAATCTGTACAATATTGAGCTTTTATCATCAGTTATGTTAACATTTTACTGTCTGCATATTTTCATAAGTAAACTATTTACTTACTACATATTAATGAAAACAAGCCGCTGGCGTGTAAAATGTGATGGGTGTTTTTGGAGTGTTTTTATGTGTCATATATTTCCACAGAATAAAGACGTGTAAATAAACATTTTCTTTGTAAAATTTATAATCCAAAGCTAATATTCTAATAAATAAACAAACGCGGGCTATATATGTGTTTTCTGGTTATTTCAGCATAGAGATGCGCAGCCAAAAGAGTTTGGGAACCGCTGCTCCAAGGTATATGGGCGCATTGCTGTTGAAATATATACTGTATATGCCAATAGTTCCAGTTATGACGTTTGTCTGCTCTCCTTTCGCACTAAGAGGATTTTTAAAAACAGCAGAGAGACGTTGTTGAACTCGTGCTTTATTTTTGTGTTTGACACATCGCCGTTAGGATACCGGATTTTCGTTCAATCCAAAACTCACACCCCATGCTGTCATAGCTGACGGGGAGGGCGTAACTTTCTCTCACACCAGATTTGAAACGGTGTAAGGGGGCAAGGGGCCGTGTAACTCCCATGAATCACAACCACGTGTCTATGTTGTGCGTTTTATCTTTCTATTTGTTTCAACGGTAGTAAGGCATTAAACAGACCATTACTGCCCCCCTAGATTAGAGTTGGGTACTGCCTTTACCGAGTGTAATATCGCCACTCAGATGTAGTCGTTGACTGCAGCAACCGAACACATTCCAACCACACTAATAGGAATTCCGTGACACCCCTAGTTTATACGGTTTTTTGTTTGTTTGTCTTTTATTTCTTTCAGTGGGTGAACGACGACGATATTATTATAAAATCATGTTGGACTTGTTCACTCAACCAGTACGTCACACAGAGTAGTGAGTGAGGTTTTATGAACGGTATTCAAATGTGTTGAGTACTTACATTAGGTTGCTTAAGATTGTGAGTCAATGTTTGTTACTAACACAAAGTGTTGAATCATAACGAAATTGTAAAAATAGATGTTGGATTTTCTGAAATTTTATAACAAAACAGTTAAATGTTCCGATGTAAATTCTCAAGCGTAGTAAACATTTGCTTATCTTCTTAACGAGTTTTGGCTAACTTTGTATAAATACCCGAAAATTGTACTGTTGTCATTCATTTTTGGAGACGTTTAACCAAATGAGTGAGAAATGTCATGCTTTTACTTTGAAGGACTCCGCCAACGGTTGCTATCCTGTTCCTTCGCGCTTTTGTCAAAATGGCGGCGCTCATCGTCATTGATGAGAGTTTATGGAAATGATTCTGTAACATTTAATGGTTATATCGACAACAAATTAAAAGCATTGCTCGCAGACACCATGGCTACATTAGAACAGAAATCACCCAATGTTCTCCTCCAAAGCCTTTGCTGCAGAATCACCGGGAAAAGCGAAGGTACAGTGAGTAACATCAGAAAGCTGCGCGCCAATGTAAATGCTAATAATTCGAATTTTTTGTCTTTGCTGCAGCTGGTGTGTATATTACAAAAAAATATGTGTATTGCTTGTTCTTCACTTGCGCGTTAATTTGACATAATCTTTTTAGCTACACCAAACCGGCTTTGTTTGTAAAAAAAAAAAATGCATTCAGCTCATCTGACAGGGTAGTTTGCATAAAACTGACGCCGCATTGGCATCCTTACACACCAACGAGACCAGACGATACATGGTTAAAGTTAACACAGCTGTGAGACGTTTCTTGTAAATTATTGAAGCGTGTGCCTTAGGCCTCCATAAATGTAAAAGACAGCGAGACTGACAGGTTTACTACTATTTGCCTCAAACACCTTGTGTTATGGTTTTGTCTTAATAGTTGTGTACTGTTTATGTCTTTAGCTGAAGTAGCCCACCAGTTTCAGTATGCAGTCCGAGTCGTTGGCAGTAACTACGCCCCAAGCATTGAACGAGACGAGTTTTTGGTGTCAGAGAAGATCAAAAAAGAACGTAAGTATAACCCAGACCACTCCACCAGGATCAAGAGAGTTGTCTGTAGTTGCTATACCTACCCTGCTTAGATCTAGTTTACAAAATACTAAAGACTCCATCAGTGAATCGTCAAGCTCTAAGCTTGCCCCATTAATGCAATAGCAAGAGCAACAGATTTAAGAAATTTGGGTTATTGTCTGATTTTTTAAAGCAAATTAACCACTCTATTCTTTTTAGCTACAGACACTCGGTCTGGCCAAGTAAAAGAGTTTGTCTCAATGTTGTTGTAGTGCTGAAGCAGAGGAGAGAAGCAGATGCGGCACTGTTCTCTGAACTGCATAGAAAACTCCAGACACAGGTGGGTACATGGCACATTCTCAATTCGCTTAACTAAAACAAACAGTCAATAACACTTTTAAAAATGTTAAAAAATGTTAAAAATTAAAAGATGCAGTAATAAAAGTTAGGAAATAGATTCATATTGATCACAGATTCAATAAAAGAGAACTCTCTTTTCAGAATCAGATTTTTTTTATCGTCATTGTGACAATTGAAGATTCTACAATTAAATTAAAATGCTGTTCTTTCAGGGAGCAAGCATGGTTATTATTCCATAAAAGGAATTGAATTTAGCTACATTGAGCTGGAGAATCTTAACCATTATTGTGCACACTGGCAGTGGCTTGTAAAACACAGAGTTGGAACTTTCAAAACTAAGGAAATCTCCGTCAGATGGACAGCTGAACATTAACTGACTGCCCTTTCAGCTTCAGGTTTTGCATAATTTCATTGGTAGACATTCATTTTAGACCAAAACCTGAAGTTTACCAAGTGAATAGTTTTTAAAGGTTTTAAATATAGAGTTTAGATCAAAAACGGCTGGGGGCAGAACTAATGAAAGATTGTTGACAATGTTTTTAAAATGATTAAATATTGTTTCCTTTTAATACAGGGTGTTCTGAAGCATCGCTGGTCTGTTCTCTATCTGCTGCTCAGCCTCTCTGAAGACCATCTGAAACCGTCCAGCAGAGTGAGTCAGACATGACACTAGGCCCAAATGTTTTACTAATTTATTTTATAAATTGCAGCAGTCTCTAAGGCATTGGGGGATAATCAATAAATCCATGAATTGCACAATAAATGAAAATGAATTTGATAATTTTTCTGGCCTTGATAAATTGCCATGTCCGTGTGTGTTTTCCTGTCCCTCGTTTCCAAACAGGCTGGATGACAAGAGTGTTCACTTTGCGTCGATCTCAGCATCTGGGCCTGTTTGTTCCATAGCAGAATGAGCGGAGTGAAACCTCTTGTCACCCACTCTTTGTGGTGGGAGGTGGGGCCACTAAAATACACAACAGGGTAGCAACACAGATGGGCCAGTATGCCGAATCTGTTCAAGTGTTGGCAGAAAAAAAAGGCAACACAACAAACTTGTATGCCCACCTAGAACATAACTACCTGACCCAGTTTTACCAGCTGGGGAAAAAACTGCAGCTTAAGATACAGAGCTTTTGTCCCAACAGTCACCACTCACTGAGGTGTTTGGTCGGAAAGTAAATACAAACGGAACGACACAAAATGGTGTGAGCTCTCAGAAAGTGTGATACGCTACCTCACAAAAGCTCCATATATTTTCTTTTTATTAAGGGCCCACGCATTGGCGTGTCCGTAATGAGAGTCATTCAGTTACTGTAGGAAATACGAGGGGCATTCAGGTACCAATGGAAATTTTAGAACACTAAAAAATAATCATGAAAAACAAAGGCTTTTTGCAGGTAAAGGGCAAACTTGCATCATTATAATATACATGTCATTACATCAGTGGTTAAGTTGGTGTCAATTACATTGTTTAACAGTAATAATTTGTGGGACAGGATGTCATTTGAATCCTCTTGTCAGTCTGCTTGGAGGCCAAAGATGAGGAAAAACAAACACACATGCACACGACATCATATTGAGGTGGGAAAAATTATTATACGAGTTCATTTTCAATTAAGAAATTAATGAATTTAGTGATTAGCATCCCACAAAAGCATCCGATTACTTGATTAATCGATGAAAAAAAATCAACAGACTACTTGATTCCAAAAATGTTCAAAAGTTGCAGCCCTAATTGAAAGTATGAGTATTTGTAAATTGAATAAAAATATAGGAATGACTAAATTATGTGGAAAGAAAAATAAATGTGGTTTTAAAGTATCATCAGGGAAAAACAGTTTCCTTCATCAGCGTAAATAATAAATGAGGGGAAGGTCTTCAAATCTACAAAGTACAATGGATACCGAGTGTTTGGGGGGGTTTGGCAGCAAGGGGCGTCTCTGCAAACAGCCGTTACAGGTCATGTTTTTCTATTCTTAGTTTAAGCTACAGCATATTCATGCAGACTATCAAGAGTTTGGAGTTCAGTTGTCCATTTCATTCAAGATGTTGAATAGATCTTTACAGTAAAAACTACGTACCCTTTAAGAGCGAAAAATGTCTTTGATCCTTTAATTTGAAACCATTGCCTTTATGCAGTGCTAATATGGCTGCTAATTGTTGCTAAATCATGACACTTGGAAGTAGGTCATGATGTGCTTGAAAAAAATGTTAAGCATACCAGTGTTAAACTAATATGTGATTAGATTTTGAAAGACATAGTTGATGGAAGGAGAGAGAGACAATCTAAGATAACAATAATGTGACAATAGGATGCCGTTAGTGAAATTAAAGGATAAAACAGACTAAAAGCAGGAGTAATAAATACATAAGAAAAAAAAACAAATAAAATGGATTATTGATTCCTGAAGACAGCAGGGAAGCATCACAACAAATGCCCATTCTAAGAACTACAAAGGTTCAGGAAAAAGACTAGATGGAGGTAGCACTGTTTCAATGTTGATGCCAACAGTATATTACAGTCATTATTTACAGCCTATAAGGTAGATCCACCAGTATAACATAAAGGACACACAGTGAAGTGAAAGCCTTTACTGTTGTGATAGGTTTTACAGAATTTTTGTCCAAGATGTTCCACATAGACACTTGAAGAAACATGGCTGACAACAAATAGTTACGAAGTACAACTGATCTGCAGGTCTGTTTAATTTACAATAGCGTCTAAGAAAACTTTCTTGCAAGAAAGATAAAACACTCTGAGGCCTCAGAATAAAGCTCTTAAATTTTAATGAATAATCAATCATTTGTACTAAATAAAGGGGAGGGGTTCCCTAGGTACCTGTCTGTGGTGGTGTGTAATTAATGAGTCAGTGGGGAAAAAGCTAGAAATCTTCACGGCTATGGGCTTGGTTTCAATCAGTAGCTTTGACAATGTGTTCTAGGGAGAACCAGACTTCCTGTCACTGAGGTCTGTGAGGTGCCCACAAGAGTGGGGGCTATATGTGAAAGTTTGTGTGTGAGAGCTTTAAAAAGCGTTCATGGACACCAGGGGTTGTGCAGATTTGTTGAGTAGTCGACTTTATTGCTCCACAATAATGTTTAGAGCTTGACGTCAACTAAGTGCTGAGCACACGTTTTTGTCGCCAACAACATAAACTCCTCACAGAAAGAAACAAAGGTGCAGCGCTGCATACCGTGACAGGTGACAGCTCCAGTCCGTTCCCTTAATTTACATATTTAGTAAACTTGGACAATCCTTTTATTCTAGGTGACAGTGTCCAAAGTGAGAACGTGGATGATTGTCCCACTATGCAGAAATTCACAGTGTCATTATTTGTAACCCACACAGACTGCTACATGGGAGGTCCTATTAAGTAAAGCAGTACTAACTAGACAAAAATGCAACATCATGTATCTTAACTGCAGCACCATTACTAATCAAGCTGCTGCATTTGTGCAAAAAAAAGATCTAAACAGTTAATGGAGACCACAACAAATCCAATGAGCCAATGATTTGTCCTTCTATTTATGTGAACCACTCAAAAGAAGAATAAAGAGTAGAAATTTACTCAGTGTTTTGCTGTTCTTTACAGGTTGGCAACTATGGGGCACTGTTTGCACATGCCCTCCCCAGGGATGCCCACTCCACCCCATTTTATTTCACCCGGCCCCAAAGCCTGGCACTGTGTTACGGAGAGAAAAGTGGTGGACTTTCTGCCAGTGTTGGCACTAGTGGCATCTCCAGTCTAGGGGTATACACGCTGAATGGACCCACACCAACTCCACAGTCATTTCTAGCTAGGTAAGAAACTCAGGCATCACACATGAGTAGTGGGCAAAAATGAATGCATGCAGTGATGCAAGAAAAGAAAACATATTGTGTGTCCTGTGTGTGATGCTCACTCTTCTCCTTCTGACTTCATATACATGCTGAGGCACCAAGGCATAGGCTTTGGCATTCAGTTTCAGTTCAGTCTGTTTGCATGGATTCCTCCAAGATCTACTGTTTTTACTCATTGCTCAAAAACATACTTTTGTGATGTTTCATAAAGCAGGTTCAACAAACTCACTCCTTATAGCTTCAGTTTGTTTCATAAAGCAGGTTCAACAAACTCATTCCTTATAGTTTCAGGTTTCAAAGCAGCACAGGAGAGCTGTAGAAGTTTGTACTTAGTGAGTCGACAGAGTTTAGAATGTGACTTCCAAAAGCTTGCCAAAATATATTCCCAGGACCATTTATTAGTTTTGTGTTTGGCAAAAGCTGAGTTTATTTTCCCCATGGAAGAATGGAATTTAAAATGCTCTTCATTCCATGCTTTCTTTCTCACAAATATTTTCAAAAGTCAACAAAATCTCAGCTGCATCAACTGCAATAATTAGAAAATACTTTTGAAGTCCAATAATATAACACTGATATGTTTAGCAGGTAGGAGGAAACTAAATATTGGCTTTTATTTTTATTATCAAACAGTGAAACCCCAGCACTATTAGATTGGTACTGGATTTGATTTAGTAAATCTAGAAAAAAACACAACCATTTTAGTATTATTATTAAAGTATCCAATGCCAGTGAACAATGAACTTCAAAAATAATAAGAAAAAATGCATATATAAAATACAAATACAACCCTTTGTTTATTCTTTTTCTTCTTTCTGTCAGAAAAGTTGTAGGCCACAACTTTATTTTTTTGTTATAAAAGTACTGCCTTCACTTGGTATATGCAGTACTGCACATAAAAATGTATTTGATTCTTATGTGGTTTATCTAGTAGAAGTCCTGCGTGTTCTATTTTTAAAAAGATTGTATTTAAACGATCTCCTTCGTAAAACCCTAAAAGCTTATTTTTAAAGCCTCTTCCTAAAACAGTGATCTTAAGGTGAAGCAAACATAAATCAACCCAACAAATAGACACTTAGGCTGACCATTGACATAAAAAGTTCTTTCCCTGGAAGCATTGGTAAGCAATTTAATTCCATTTATCCTCATTAACAATGCAAAAGACCATTAACTTAAAATAAATGATCATTTAGCTGTTTAGTTTAGTTATTCAAAGAATCTGTGTCCTTTCCGTTAAGGTCAAATATAAGAAATACACACACATTATAACACATATGGCCCTCAGGTACATAGTAGATTATTCATGATAAATGTAGATAGATTAACATTTATTTCATTCAAATACATCACAATTAATCACATTATTTGTTAATTATGATCTTGATTAATCATGATAGCTGTGCCGTATCCACAGCTACTCTGTGACTACATTTGCAAGATAAAGGTCGAGGTCAAGCACATCAAAACTTCAGATTTGATTTTTTCTTTCTATTCTAAGTCCTATGTGTCTGGACTGTCTGGTTTTATAGACAAATGACCAATAAAAGTCTTGGAATCTTGTATAATCTGACTGCAACAGAAAGTTGTATTTCTTACTCAATCAACCTACTCAATAAAAACAGCAATTTTCATATATATAATCAAATTTTTAGAAGGAGATGTTGTAAAATGGAATGATGTTGTAATATTTGTAACTAAGAGTAATTCTTTATATGTGTATTTTAGTCAGCCCCCGCAGTCGGCAGTTGAGGTCACTCAACCTCTAGGCTCTCGCCTGGCCTGGGCATTGCCAGTGAGCAACTCTGTTCCTTCTGCTGTTGCCCCACCAAACACACGACCATCACCTGCACCTCCAGCTCAGACTACCAGAGTTGTAAATCGGCCTCGAAGAGATGGTGACTCAGGTACAAACCAACATAAGCACTAATAATTGATTGGTTAAAAGGTGGTTAGAAAATAGTCAGAAAATCACGTGTGATTTAAGTTTCTGAAGGTCAATCATGGAGGATAAGATTACAACTGCAGCTTTCTAATGCAAAAATTGGTCTTAAACTTTAAAGATACATTATTAGCATTCAGACTATGAACATTATTTTACATTTATTGAACACCTAACCATCTGTTTTCCTCTGCTGTTGCAGGAGAAGTCAGTGAAGCAGCACTGGTGCGTGATATTCTCTACGTCTTCCAAGGTATTGACGGTAAATACATCAAGATGAGTGCCCAGGAGAACTGCTACAAAATGGATACAAAGGTACCTAGGCTCTCATTGTTTAGTATAAACTCATCTCACGTTTCCCTTTTTTTTTTTAGCTTTACAAGGTTTTGCCTAAGGCCACATGATTGTAGGGTGGGTTAATGCATTTGCCTTACAGCAAAAAGATTACAGGAGTGAACTCTACTGATCTAATAATAATCTAATAATCATTCAGTGATGAGTTGAAATGTTCTTCCTTGTCTGTGCCTGGGTTTTCTACATGTCAATTGGATTCATTATTCAGATTGGACTTGCAGATTGGAGATTAGCCTAACAAGCTGAATTGATGATTGGTGTGATTGTGAGAGCGAATGATTGTTTGTTTCTATATGTTGTCCTGTGATGGATTGGTGGGCTGCCCAGGTTGTACCTTGTCCTTGCCTGGTGACTGCTAAAATCTTCCTGAACAGAATAAGTAGTAGAAAATGAATGAACAAATGTTCACCCAACTGTTACTTTGTAGTAGTAATTGTTGAAGTGGAAGTCTAAGGAAACTTTACTGTGCTCTGATTTTGGACACAGTCGGACCCTTCTGACAAACTCATTTTAACAGACCATTTCTTCCACATGATTCTTGTGATTCTTGGTGTGAAAAGGTTCGCTGTTCAAGAATTATCATGTGATCACACACTTTTTTTTTGGTATGGTTGTTAAATTCCTAAAACACTGCTGTTTTTCTTGCCCACCTTATTAATTCCTGAATTGTGTTCTTTTTCTTATTGTATCTTACGTATTTATTTTAGCTGTGCAATATGTCAACACCCTATTCCTACAGTGATTTAGAAAGATCATATTCTTCTTTGAGAAAAAATGACAATGCTTTTACACAAAAAAGACCCCACTCTTGTAGCATTCATAATTGTTGTGTTTAGCCCTGTTTAAAACTGCAAACACTTACAGACTGATACTTTCTAACCATACAAGATGTATTGTAATGTGTGTCTTCCTTCCTAAGGTTTTGCTGTGTAAATCCAAGTGTGACACCAGCAGTAGACTGGCTGAACTTGGTTGGCTCCACAACAAAGTTAGAAAGTATGCCGATGCTAGGAGCCTTGACCGTGCCTTTGGATTGGTTGGACAGGTATGTCTTTACCTCCTGTATTCATTATCGTCTCCTGCAAATACTTTAATCCAACCTTTGAATTCTCAACAATATCTTTTCTCAGAGCTTCTGTGCATCGCTTCACCAGGAGTTGAAGGAATACTACAGACTTCTGTCAGTCTTACACTCTCAGGTATTCAGTCAGTTTAATAATACAAATCTGGTGCTAACTCATCTCACTTGCCACTGGATGTAGACGGTTAATACTGAACAAGTGTTTGTGTTGGTTTCTTTTCAGAAGCAAAAAGGAAAACATATTTATAAATATAAACTTGCCATGGATCTGAAAATAGCAGTTACATAGTAATTTTATGGATGTAGTGCTTTACTCCTAGGATAACGTGTGTTTTTCTTTAACTGACTAGATGAAATTGATAATGGAAAATAGCTATGCCTTTAAATTGTTTTGTTTGTTTACATATGTTAAACTGACATAAATATGTGCAATATACTACTTTTAAATTAATTAAAGTTTGAACACAATGCAATTATTTGTGACTAAAATTGTTTATCATAACCAGCATTAGTTTTTTTTCTAACAGAATAGCAAGTATAATAAACAAATGTATCATTACATACAGAAATGATCTGCATAAAGTTCACAAATCCGTTCTCTGCTTGTTGCTGCCTGTCTGTCTTAGCTGCAGGTAGAAGATGAACAAGGTGTGACTGTGAGCACAGAAAACAGCCTGACTTTGAGGAGGCTTCTGGTGTGGATGTACGACCCCAAAATTCGCCTGAAAACACTGGCTGCTCTTGTGGAATATTGCCAAGGTTTGCTCTAATGTGCTATTAGTTGTTGTGTTACTGGGTTCAGTTGGAAGAGATGAATGAATAACACAATTTTTGGTTGTGTTCAGGGCGGAAAGGAGGTGAACTTGCTTCAGCTGTTCATGCCTATGGAAAAACAGGAGACCCACAAATGAGGGCATTGATCCAACACATCCTCAGCTTAGTGTCACACCCCATTTTTAACTTTCTCTACAGATGGATCTATGATGGAGAGCTTGAAGATACCTACCATGAGGTAAAGCCCGCTTTTTTAACACTTGGTTGTTGGATTCATGTTGTAAACTGTGTTTATAATGTTTAAATATATAAATGTACAGACCACCTGTGTCCTTCAAAGCTACTCTGGGTGAAGCTAGCCTTGTAGTCCGCCACAGTCTTGTAGCAGCTCTTGATCTTATGAGTAACGTTACTGCCACCTAGTGGGTCATTATTTACTTCCAGCTTCTGATTCAAAAAGGAAAAAGAAAAAAGCCCGTAGAAAGTGTACCGTCCTAGCTTAAAAGTACAACTCAGTACTATCCAATTATTAGGGCAATTTTTTTTCATCGTCAGTTCTTTGACTATAATTTAGGCATCTAAGGCATGTCTTTGTTTAATCTGCTAGGGACAGGATCACCAATCTCTTTACTATTTAACCCTAATCATACCAGTTATTTAACAACAGCCTAAACTGACTTTTAAACAAACATGAATAAATGTAATAAGCGTCCTTTCTTGGTTTTAAATAGGCATGCATGATATGGAATATGAAATGATATCAATAAACTATTTTTAACTTGTCCTCATGGCTGATACCAATACCCTTTCAAGGCTGCTCCCATTAGGGGTCACCATAGCGGGACATCTGGCTCCCTCTCACCCTATCTTCTGTCTGTTCCATATTTACCCTGACCGTCTTCATGTTCTCTTTTCCTACATTCTTTAATCTTCTATGTGATCTTCCTCTTTTCTGTTGTCTAGCAGCTCCTTCAACATCCTTAGTCCAAACTTCATCTCAAACTACTCTACCTTAACTGACACTCTAATCTACTTATTTCTAATACCATTCTGGTCCTTCCCAGTGAGAATCTCACCATCTTAATTTCTGCTGCCTCTAGCTCTGCCTTTTTTTTAACCATAAGACAGGACCGGTGTTCCTAAACCATACATCATAGTCTGAGGTCTCGCTATTGTCTTATAAACCCTTATCTATCTGTCTGTCTCTCTGTCTGTCCATTGATTCTACCTATCCATTCCTTTTTTGTGAATGGTCCTGTACTCTGGATATTTGACCAAAAGTACTTACATTCGTAGACCACTTGCTTTATTCCAGTTTACACACTTGTATGCTGCCTTGTATACATACTCTAAGTATGTTGTGTGTCATACAGTACAACATACTTAGAGTATATGCTTTCTCTAAATCCATAAAGACAGTGCAGTTTCTTCTCATGGCTAATACAGCTAGATAGACTCTTTTTTGGCATCCTCTCACAGTCTTCAGGATTGTATTGTCCAGCTCTATCTCTCGGTTCAGCTGATAACTTCAAATCCTTCTCCCTTTCCTTACTGTCCAATCTTTCATTCAACTCATCCTAAGCCCTTGTATTTGCCCCGGCTGCTGCTCTCTTAGCCTCTCTTCTAGCCCGACTATTCCCGTCTACCTGCATAATCTCCCTTATTATCTCACTTTTTCTGAGCTCCCCTCTTCTCATGGATGGTGTCCTGTACTATTTCATTCCACTATTAAGTTTCTTTGACATCACTCCAGTGACCTGAAGTCACAGCTAACAGCTACCTGCCAGTTTTCCTCACCACCTGATTTGTCCTTTCTTGGTCTTCTGGTACTGTAGTTCTCTAACCCCATGCTATGGAAGTCATTTTCATAATCTGTCTGATTTTTTAAAATATCTTTTTTCTATCACATATTAAGCTGTTAAGTGGCTTAGGACAAGCACTACGAGGTCATAGAATAGCCCCTCTTGTCCCTCAGTGGCAGTGCAGCATTTTTTTTAACAGTAATAGTGACTGCTTAATTAACAGATACCTACCTATGACATCATCTGATTTAGTTTCCGTCGGCAAATGAATGCAGCAGAACGTGTCATACATCTGTAAACAGAGAACATGGCCACCAACAGTTTGCTGACTATTTGCAATAAATGCTCCAAGCAAGTTCCATGAGGAGGGGAAATAGCAAGAGCTTTAATACTTAAATATTGTTCAATGTTTATTAATTTGAGTTTGTGACACTCAAATCAGACAGTGCTACACTGTTCTATGAGCTCAATTACTTTTAACATTTGTGTATTGTGTGTTTTGTGTTTAGTTCTTTGTGGCATCGGATCCCAATGTAAAGACTGATCGTCTGTGGCATGACAAGTACTCCCTCAGAAAGTCTATGATACCCTCATTCATCACCATGGACCAGGCTCGCAAGGTATATGCTGTTATTTGGTGTGTGTGTGTTTGTGTGCTTGTGTGTGTATATTTTCCATATACTTCTGTATCACCTATTTTCTGCTTGCTACCATCCGTCTCTTCCTTTTAGGTGCTACTGATTGGAAAATCCATTAACTTCCTGCACCAGGTTTGTCATAACAGAACACCGCCAGTGAAGATCAAACCTCCATCCAATTCTGCCGACACACCTAAAGAGGGTAGGAACTTTGGCTGCACTCTTATAGTCTATTACAAACTTTGCCTTATGACTCAAACACATTTCTGGACATCATGTAGGAAAAACGTTTGGAGTTTTTTTCTTGTTTTTTAAAGTTTATTAACAATTGATTTGGTGGTTGCTGTAATTTGTATGCTTTTAAAATAGTTTTTATTGGTTATTTTATTCACAGGCTTATCTTGTGAGTCAATCATATCGATGAAGTCACTGATCAGCCTTTGTCTTATTGATTGGCCTGAAAGGCCTTTGTCATATTGATTGAAGTGTGTTAATGCAGGCTGATGGATTGGCTGTAATCGATGCTCTTACCATTTACTGACCTTGTGCTCTTCTTTGTTTGACATTCATTTTCAAGAGGTATTCTTAGACAAACATATTGATTCACTTGAATTTGTAGACTCTATAGACTCTGCCTTTACTGTATTTGTGGAACAGTTACATATTTGTCAGCACCTAGGAAGCAAATGTTTTGGGCGTCACCTATGACTGCAGATAAAATAAAACAAACGTTACCAATTTAAAGGAACGTGTCATACTTTCCATTTTTCACTTTCCTTTTTCATATCAATTGTGGTACTTTTAAGATGAGACATTTACTAATTTATTCAAGTACAATGACATTTTAATTTGACTGTTCTCACTGACAATAATATTGGGCAAAAATCCTTTCTTTCTACACCATCAAAAATCTTTGTTTTACCTATTCTTGCAGCAGCGGAGCTCCTGTCTGACCTAGAGGGAACATTTCAAGAAAAGATTGATTCTGCCTACTTTGACACAAGCAAATATCTTTTGGATGTTCTCAACCGAGACTACCAGCTGCTGGACCACCTGCAGGCCATGAGGAGATACCTGCTGCTGGGCCAGGGTGACTTCATTCGACACCTCATGGACCTGCTCAAGTTAGCAACACTGGCTTCTGTTTCATTCATACACTACTGTTACTGATGTCTTCAAATTTCAGATTTTGTAATTGTTTGTTTAATTCTCAAATTTTTACCCAGACCAGAGTTGGTGCGCCCTGCCACCACTTTGTACCAGCACAACCTAACTGGAATCCTAGAAACTGCTGTACGAGCCACCAACGCACAGTTTGACAATCCTGAAATACTCAAGAGGCTCGATGTCAGACTACTAGAGGTAAAAATTGTAATCACCGTGAAGTGGGGTGTGCTACTAGTCTGCTTCCATCAGCTCCTTACTGAGAATTGATTCCACACCAGGTGTCGCCTGGTGATACAGGCTGGGATGTGTTCAGTCTGGATTACCATGTGGATGGACCTCTTGCTACGGTAACCTACTTCATACCAGTATATATTCTATATTCTACGAATGTTTATCTGGAGAATCCAATCAGAATTAACTTAATAATGCTGGTCTGTACTACATACAAAATAAAAATTCAATAAAAAACATGTTTAGCGCTATGGTTAAATCTGATTTTTATATGGTACTAACGTGTTCTTATCTCTGAATATGAAAATACTAGGTGTTCACAAGGGAATGTATGGGTCACTACTTGCGAGTGTTTAACTTCCTGTGGCGGGCCAAGAGAATGGAATACACTTTGACAGACATCTGGAAGGGGCAGATGTGTAATGGGAAGCTCCTCAAAACCATGCCTGGTACATAAATAAACATCAACGTTTATGTTTTCACATTTTTTTTCTTACCTTGTTTGAGTGCCTTAATATGTGAATCCATAAATTTTATGTGAGATGTTGTTTTTTTTCCCCAGACACTAAAAGCCTTATTTTGCACAGTAGCCATCTGTCTTCAAGCTGTTAAAGTCATTACCTGACATTATCTCTTTTTTTACCTTTTAGAGTTGTCTGGTGTGTTGCATCAATGTCACATCCTGGCCTCTGAGATGGTCCACTTCATCCACCAAATGCAGTACTACATCACCTTTGAGGTGAATCCATTAGCAGGGCTTTTAACACAAAGACAGAATTGCCTGGAAAATAAATATGCGCTTCAGCTTAAATACCGTAGAAGAATGTAAATTGTGCATGATTCTTAAGGAAAGACGTGTTAAAGAAAAAAAAAATATATATATATATATACACACACACACACACATATCCTAACAAAAAGTAAAGATGTTTTGTTTTCATACATTACATTGATTCAATAATAATGACAAAGAGTGAGTAGGTTTCTTTTGTTTTCCCAGGTGCTGGAGTGTTCCTGGGATGAGCTTTGGAACAAAGTTCAGAAGGCTCAGGACCTCGATCACATCATCGCTGCCCATGAAGTCTTCCTGGACACCATCATTTCAAGATGTCTTTTGGACAACAACACGAGGGTAACTTTTATGATTAATGGTTTCAATAATACAATTACATTAATTGCTATCTTGCATCACACAAACAACATTTCTAT